TTCGAAAACACGCAAATGTGAGTAGATCAATAGGTATCACTTTGACAGGAAGGTAATGGCACTCCATGCAGTCATGCTGGCCACATGACCTTGGATTCGTCTATGGACAACGCCGGCTCTTCGGCTTAGAATGGAGATGAGTACCATCCCCCCAGAGTTGGATAAGAGTAGAGTTAATGTAAAGGGGAAACGTTTACCTTTACCTTATTGAGCTGAACATCAACATCACAGACAGATGGTTCTGGAAGAATAAACCTTGAAGAGTTTCGACATCTTTGGGATAAGATTAAAAGCTGGCAGGTATTAATTGAAACTTCTTGTATGTGTTCTGAATACCATTCTTCTGGGCATACTAAGTTGCGCATGCTTTCTAGTAATTCACAAATTAAAACTGGGGCACTTGTGTCAGTGACAAAAAGCTACTGAGGAAGAACACACAAACTGAAGCTGCAGTTGTTTGCTTTAGCATGAGCCTACTGGGAAGGGTAACATGTTGACCCATCTCTTTTCCTTGTGTAAAACACTTCTGTACTTTGAACTCAGTTTGTAGCAACTGAAGGAATTTTGAGGACAAGGGGAGATGTGAGAGGAGGAAAAGGAAATAGGGACATTTTAGCGGTAGCTGAAAAATGGGATAGCAGATCATCTATAGCAGTGGTTCTCAACCTGTGGGTCCCCATGTGTCTTGGCCTACAACTCCCACAAATCCCAGCCAATTTACCAGATGTTAGGATTTCTGGGAGTTGAAGTCCAAAACATCTGGAGACCCACAGGTTGAGAACCACTTATCTGTAGGAACTGTCCCTGCTAAATGGGGACAGTTGGGGATGTAGTAATGAGTGAAAAATAGTACAATAATAGAATAAAAACACAGAAAAGGTATATTTTTCAGCATTTTTGTTGTTGTTCTGTTGGGGGGAGGACAGAGAGAGAAAATTAGCATAGAATAAATCATATGATCCGTCTCCGCCTCTCTATTTTATGTCCAAAGTCAATGGGTAATAATAGCAGGAGGGGGACTAATAGGACGACACCTGGCATTTCCCAGTGTTCCATCCAGGTAGTCACCAGGGGAGACTCTGCTTAACATGTTACATTAGACAGGATCTGTGTCTTTAGAGTCGTTAAAATGTCTCCAAAAATAATTCAAGTTGTTAAAGTTTAATGAGTGGTTTGATTATTCTTTAATGATAGTCTAGCCTGCTACCAATGGAAGTGCTATTCATGTTAGAGGTTATGCAAACATTTCTTATTCTTATGTTCGCCATTGTATCGCTTACAAAACAATAGACTATTTCAAGTATTTCCTATTAGAACAGGGCCATTTGTTTTAGTGGATATTTCTGAAATGATTTTCCCCTTTTCTGGTAGAGCTGGAACAAAACGAAACCTAACATTTCCACTATTACTTTCCAGAAAATTTTCAAACGCTATGACACCGATCAGTCAGGAACCATTAACAGCTATGAAATGCGTAATGCAGTGAAAGATGCAGGTATTGTACTGTGCTTGTTATCCTATATCCTTGGATAGACACTTCGCCAATATAGTCTTCTGCTTTCGTTCTAATAGATTGACAGCGAAAATAGTATTTTCTACGTAAAATTACTGAGAGAGAAAATGGAAAACGTATCTCAAACTAGATGTCTTTATTTTTTTCTAGGATTTCAGTTGAATAACCAGTTGTATGACATTATTACAATGCGCTATGCTGACAGAAATATGAACATTGAGTTTGATAGCTTCATCTGTTGCTTTGTGAGGCTCGAGGGAATGTTCCGTAAGTATATTAATTTCATCTGCTTGAAAATATTAATCTCAACGATGCTCACACCATAATATGGAAGAAGCTCTACTAGAGTAACTTCTCATATACTTTCCCCCTTTATGTCCCTTTAGGTGCGTTTAATGCCTTTGATAAAGATGGAGATGGAATTATTAAACTGAATGTCTTAGAGGTAATATTTTTTTTATTTTGGTGTGTTTCTTTATTAAATAAGAGCTGTATTCTGTGGGTTTAGATCAGGCATGGACAAAATTTGGCCCTCCAGGTGTTTTGGACTTCAACTCCCACAATTCCTAACACCTGGAGGGCCAAAGTTTGCCCATGACTGGTTTAGATACTTTAATGATGGTAAGAGCTATTAGTGACTATTAACTTGGATTGCTAAATGTCGCTTCCATTTTACCTCCAGAGTACTACACCATGCATTACTGTGGCTTACCCTTCTTTTCATAAGTAAAAACAATCCCACAAATTCCCCATCATTTCAGGGTATGACTATCTATGAGATGTTGGCAGTTTTAATCATTTTGTGGGTATGGATTTTTATTTATCGTATCAGAAGCAAGCCGAGGGTAGAGTTGTAATGTATTTTTAAATAGCACAAAGTTTAAAAAACTTGACATTATACTAAATGTCTTTTGACCAGTAGCTGGCCACTTGGAGTGCCTTTGGTGTTATAAGAAGGTCCTCCATTGTGCACGTGGCAGGGCTCAGGTTACATTGTAATAGGTGGCCTGTGGTTTGCTCTTCTCCACACTCACATGTTGTGGGCTCCGCTTTGTGGCCCCATTTCTTAAGGGTTGGCTCTGCATCTCATGGTGCCAAAGTGCAGTCTGTTCAGCACTTTCCAACAGTGGGTATGGGCGCAAAACTGAAAAGGCGAGACTTCTGAGTTAGCTAATACAAAGGTGTCTCGCCTTGAAATATACTGTTATTGAGTTTTCTCAAGAGCAATGTGTTCATAAGCCCAGATGTTCTCATTTAGGCTTTGCTTTCTTTAAATATTGGAATGATAGCAGGATTTAAATCTGACCCTATACATAGTTACTTAGAAAATCCCACCATTTACTTGGATGCTAGTTTTGGATAAATGAAAACAGACTTGCGAAGATTGCAAGGGGGAGCCGCACCTTTCCCCCTGCACTTTTAGTTACGTCTATTATCATTTAATATTGTTTTTTCCCCTTTTCTTCCAGTGGCTACAGCTCACCATGTATGCCTGAAGGCCACACAGACTTGTGTTCTTATCCTCATTTGTGCTCGTTCTTGAAATGAGGCCCGGAATTTTGTCAAAAAGAAGCCAGCCAGTATTGAGTTGCAGATCAATAACACTTAATGTGTCTCGCTCCCCTTTTACCAGATAAAAGTTGTGAATCTAAAATCTACCTTTCTACTTCTTGATAACTGACATCAGCAGTATCATATTGCAAAAGGTGTCTGCCACCATTGCACTACGGACTGTTGTTCAATCTACTGTACATTGGCCTAATGCCAATGTTACACTAGTAGATGTATACTAGTGCTATGGCACTTTCCTCCCCTCTTGCAGCTCTAAACCTCCTGATTTAAAAATCCTCAGGGTCTAGGAATGTTATCACTATCAAAGGATTTACGGAACTACCCAAATGGATGTATCTCATTTAAGTGTATTCATTGTACAGTCGATCTGCGAGTTACGAGCAAGATAGTTTCTGAAGGTTTGCTCTTAAGTTGGAATTTGAATGTAATCTGGAACTAGTACATTGCTAAAGCGTGTCTCTAACTTTTATTTTAGTTTTGGATACAACAAATCCTCACTTTCTGTCCCTGTGACAATTCGATTTTGAAAATGTTGGCTTGTTGTGGAAACAAGGATTGGTGATAAAAACTTCAGTACAGACACCTTTTCCCCACGATAACTCTTACGGGAATTTCCTTCCTAGGAATAGATTTCTTTTTACTTCCTGTTGCCTCACCCTCATTTGTAATTAGGAGTTCTATGTAGGTCAGATGTTTGTAACTCAGGGACTGCCTGTACTTAAATAACGTGTTTCAAATATGTAACTGTTTGAAATTTCTTCTTGTGTGTGTGTGTTTTATTCTAGTCCTACATATGCTTTAAGCATTATTCCCATGGCCAAATACTTCTATAATAAATCAATGTATCATTCAGAATCTCCCAAACAATACTGCCACTGTTCTCGTCAATTGGGGGGTTCTGAGTCATTCAAAAGAAGTGAACTTTTCTAACATTTTCAAATGGATTGTGTAGAAAGAGGATGAGAGAGAGAGAGTGTGTGTGTTATACATCCAGGTAAAATCTGTAGCATTATGTAAAATAAACCACATGTAGTTCACGTTTGATCAGCCCAGACACTGCCTTGTCAGAGAAAGAAAATATGCCATGCAGGTGAACAGTAAAGTAGTTTACTCTTTGTAGTTCAGAACAACATGACTCAGTTCAAAACAGATATTGTGGGATTTTCTGCCTTGATATTCTGGGATATAGGGCTGTGTGGAAGGGCCCACAATCATAGCACTTCCAACCATATTGTACTGCTCCAAGGAACAAGTCTTCCATTACATGGAAATTCCACGTCAGAAAAAAATACCAATCTATAAGGAATTTTGGAAACACCCTGGTAAGTGTAAGTGGTTTAACCCATTGTGGTGGCGCAATGGGTTAAATCGCAGAGCTGCTGAACTTGCTGACTGGAATGTTGGTGGTTCGAATCTGCAGGGCAGGGTGAGCTCCCACTGCTAGCCCGTTTCTGCCAACCTAGCAGATTGAAAACTTGCAAACGTGAGATCAATAGGTACTGCCTTGGTGGGAAGATAAACAGTGCTCCATGCAGTCATGCTGGCCACATGGCCCCAGAGGTGTCTCCAGACAACGCAGGTTCTTCGGCTTAGAAATGGAGATGAGCACCAGTCCCAGAGCTTTACCTTTATCTGTGTTTTGTTGTTTCTAGGCATTGAATGTGTCTGTATATGCTGGAATCTGCCCTGAGTCTCCTCGAGAACATAGGGTAGAATACAAATAAATTATTATTATTATTATTATTATTATTATTATTATTATTATTTGTTACTACTACTACTACGTGCAATTAAGAATTGCTCCAAGCAAATCCTAAATAACTACTTTCCTGATCCTTATACAAAAAGTCAAGTCATTAATCAAACCCTTCAGAATATTCACAGAGAGACAGGAAGAATTTAGGCAACACCAGACTTCTGTTGTTATAAAGTATATTTATTTTCTTTTTTCTTTTTGTTTATTTAGTTCACAGCTTGTAGTAAAAAGGAAAGGAAAGACCAAGTCATTCTGTGCATGTGAGTTCACACATCTTTACTCATGAGAAAAGTCACACACATCATCCCACAGAAACAAAATAGGGTAGTGAAAGCTTCCAAGAAAGCTATTGGAGTTTATTACTTATGCAGTTTCTCTCATCTACTATTCTTACAGGCACATCAATCTCTTCCTTGTTTTAACTGGTGTACAATTTGAGCCTTTCTGGTTGTGTTCATATTATAATTTTGTACATGAAGAGTGCATACTTTGTCCTTTGCATGAATCCATCTTACCAGGGTCCTAGAAATCTAGGAAAACCAACATTTAGAGCAAGATAGACATTTGTTGTGCATTGCTTTTTTTTAAAAAAAAAACAACTAAATGCCATTGAATGTATGAATAAGCTAGAACTTGCAATTTTAAAAATAAATGTTATAGCCAAAACAGCTTACAATCTAACTGATAATTAAAATGCAACCCAGAGCTCACAAGATGAACTGAAATGTGGACTGTAGTTTTGGTGTCTTGATTCATGAAGCCTATTTGTCTCAAGGGGCAAACAGAAGCTGGGTTATGCACTGGCATTCAGTTGTAAAAAAAGATTGAAACAGCTGAACAGCAGAGCAATTCCCTGAAATTTGATACACAAACCATTCCCGCACAGCTCTTAACACACACCAAATCCTTACATTCACTAAATAAGACAAATGGCATCAAAGAAATGCCTTTTGTGTTGGGGAAGTGTGTTGGCATGCAGTCCAAATTCACTCCATAGACAGCCCACAACAGCTTGCTCAGGCATTAGCCAACACATAACTTCACACTCCCACACAAGTCAAAAACACACTCCACAATTCCCTCTAGCCACTTCATTTCTATCTCTTTACCTTCAAAACAAAACTTTCTCAAGATAATTTCGACTTATTTGTAGAAAGATGTCAGAAACCCGAAAATGCAAGAACTTGACAATCTACATTTCACAATTTGACAATGAAAATGGCCTTTGTGTTGCCACATTTTCTGTCAGAGACCTAGAGGAACATGCTAACATTTCTGTATAAAGAGGCTGAAGTACAGAAAGCAGAACCTCAAACCAAAAACAAAACAAAACAAAAATCCCTGATATATAGCAGAAGAACTTCTATAACCTGAAATAAGGGACTGTAACAACTCTAACAGAAGTTTTATCAGAGTATAATGAAGTGCTGAGAACTTCCACAATTAAGGGGTAATACTATTTTATGGATATGACATGGCTTAGAACTGTTCTTCTCGGAGTTTAATAAAGGCCCACAAACAGAACCAAACTTTGGTAAGACACAACCGCACACTATTGCTAAATCAGGCTAAAAGCAAATTATCGCAAAGGTATTCCAAAAATGGATGAAAGGAAAAGTTTTTTTCAACCATCTTAAAACACACACATTCACACATCCTATTACAGCAGCTAAGAAAACAAGTCTAGTGTAGGTTGGTAACACTTACAGTTAGTACTCTAGTAGAAAAAAATATTTGCAAACAAACTCACTATCCTCTTCCAGTAAGAAGTTATCACTGGGGAAGATGCAAAAATTCAAATCCATTCACTCATTATCAAGAATGCACAAACACTGCATGCCACATATTTTTCTCACAAACACACTGTCTCTGTACCTTCATTTCATTCATGTTTAGCTTTAGATGACCTAAAATCAATCTATTACAAAAATGTGTACCCATTTCTCTATGGGTTGAACCCTAGAGCTTCTTGTGGATCTCTTTACAACTTCCCTTAGTTTGTTCTACCAGGAGAAAATAAGTCCAAAGTGCCAACAAACAAAGGACTAACACTGCTTGGAAACCACCTTAAAATAGGCTGCAGAATAAGAGTCTCCTCCTTCACCAAGCAGGTTATCTAGGCACAGGGAAAGAGTAAAAAGGAAATATTTTATATAGAGCAGTTTTTCTCAATTGTTTTTTCCTCCAGCTGTTTCTGACAACTCCCAAAAGCTTAAGCTAGCATTGCCAATCATCAGAGATGTCGATGGTTGAAAACTAAAGGATAAGAACCACTGAACTACATATAATTTTACATGCTACAAAGTCCACAGCATGTCCAAGTCTTCTGACAAGTTTTCAAGTTGAGCTGAAAACAGCTTCCAGATATAGGTCTGTTCTTAAAGGCAACTATGTGTGCATTACCTTAAATGTCCAAATGTTGTAAACAACCTTTGATCTCTTAATATTTAGACATCATTAGAGACAATAAAATGAAAGAAGTTAAGACCTACGTGGGTAGGCATTTCGAGACAGTTACAGGGATTCTCACTTTCCCTCTGGAATAAATCAAATAAAGACTGAAGCCAGTGATAAGAAGAAAGCTGGCTTAGAGCTAAAGAGAAAAAAAAAACCCCTTTATATAAACTTGAGTAGTGGGAACTGCTACATCCTCCCCAAGAGAACAGCACCAAAGTTCCCACAAACCCATTTCAATCATTCTTAATTATCGTCTTCCCATTATATTGGTTGTGTAGGCTGCTACTTCTACCTCATTACAGTAAATGGTGGCACAACGTACACACATGATATTCTTAGCTTCTTGGATTTTAAAAGTTCCTTGGATTTTAAAAGTTCATGTTTAACGTCCAATAGCCTTTTCGTTTCGCAGTAACATTCAAACTACAAAAAAAAAAGGAATTTGGCAGAAATAAAAACCAGATTACACTAGGGAAAGTGGACCAATCAAAAACACTTTTAAAAACACAGGGTGGCCATGTGTCAACTAGACTGTGTACTGTGATTGTAATGTGTGTTTTTTTATGTTGTTGATTTCATTTTAATTTTATTGTGTGAGTTTTAATCTGTATTTCTCGACTTGTCCCTTGTACGCTGCCCTGAGAACCTTCAGGGAGATGGTGGTGGGGTATAAAAATAAAGTTATTATATTATTAGTACTATTAGACAGCAGTGAACATGTTCAGACTCAATGCAGGACTCCAAAGCTCAGCAACTTACAATGTCACAATGGGTCCTAAACTTCCAGGCTCAGGGCCATAGGCCTATTCCTGCATCAAGAAATCACTGGATTTAAACATACGGGTGCAAACGCTTAAAATATGAAATTATTATCTGCACTAGCCTTTGCACCAAGGTGCAGTAATTAAAAGTGGAAGGAACAGGCTAATTGGATGATGTTCCTTCTAGTTTAGATGGATTTGCTGTTCAGTTTGGAAAAGTCATAGAATCACAGAGTTGGAATAGGCCATCCAGTCCAACCCCCTGCCATGCAAGAACAGCACAAAGCACCCCTGACAGATGGCCATCCAGCTTTTGTTTATAAGCCCCCAAAGGAAGAGCTTCCACCACACTTCAAGGAAGTGTGTTCCACTATCAAACAACTGTTATGGTCAGGAAGTTCTTCCTAATATTTAGATGGCATCTCCTTTCCTGTAATTTGAACCCATTGCTCTGAGTCATTGCATCATGCCTTGAAAATGAAGGCTAACACACAATATAAACTGAAGATTAAAGAGGAAACCATTCCTGCATGCTTATACTTCCCTTTAAGGTCTCTCATCGAAAGAGACATACTATGAAAGGAAAGGCAGCACTCAATATTTAAATGGTATTTTCTGGTCTGTGTTTTATTATCATCGTCATTGCCCAAATCCCAATCTATAAACTACCTGAGAAGATCTGGTATACAACATAAAAACAGAAAGGTGAACAATGTATGTAGGCACCCAGTGTACTAAACATTTCTCTAAATAACACATTTTAGACGTGTGAAATGTATTTTTTTGAAAAGGGAAGACATCATAAATGGTCTTGTTGTTACTGTGAATGAGTTCAACGTTGTTTTGTTTGGTCTAAGTCTGTCAGTCATTTCCTTCTCTACAGAGCTGCAAGCAAGATGCTGTCTCTGTATCAAAAAAGAAAAAAGGGGGAAAGGCCTAAGTCCTTTTCCTACTCCAAATATGAATTGGGGAAGAAAAAAGGACTGGGCTTGAGGCGGACAAGGCATGGAATACTTCCAGTTTATAAAAAGGACTTCCCAATGTGGGAGGCGAAAAAGCTTCATGAGTCAATCTTGCTATCATCCTCTGCATGTTTTTCAATATGTCCCACAGCATCCTATAGATAGAGAAGAGGGAAAAAACTTTACCAAACAGAGATTTCACTCAATCAATGATATAGTAGAATAATGGAAATTTAATGATAACAATAATAATAGAGTAAAATAATAAATGCAATAATAACAATAGAGTAAAATAATGTAAATATAATAATAATAAGAGTAAAATAATAAATGTAATAATTACAATAATAGAGTAAATAATGTAATTGTAATAATAATAAATAGAGAAAAATAATAAATGTAATAATAATAATAATAATAATAATAATAATAACAACAACAGAGTAAAATAATGAATAACTTTGATTCAAGAATAAGCCGAGAGGGGCCTTTTCAGCCTAAAAAAGGGCTGAAAAACTCAGCTTGTACTAGAGTATATACAATAGTTGATAGTCAATTTCAAACATTCTCTTTAAGTTTTATTTTACTGCAACACTTCACTACATACCTGCTTGGAACCTTTCCTGGAGGTGAAGAAAGCATCACAGTTCCTCCAGCGACACTTTAATGTTTGAAAATTTGGGTTGGTGTGATCATTTAATAAATGCTGCTTCAGGTGGTCCACAACTCCAAATATGAGTGAACATCCATGCCACTGGCAAGAGATATAGAATAGAAATGTTAGAGACAGAATGTTGAGGATATAAAAATTATAATACGAAACAAGCATACAAATCAACATAGGCAGGACCGATATGTAAATACAACACACAAAAGTGAGTACGATCTGACTTATCCCTTACACATATACAAAAATAAGATCTATGCAGGCTATGCTGGCAAGGGCTACTAGGAATTACATTGTAACAACACCTGGAAGGTGATACTATGAACCCCCTGCAGCACTATAAATCCTAAAACCATGTTACTGAAATGCATAAAGCTATTCTAAGTGGAACAGCTTCTATGCACAAAGAACAACAGTAATCTTGGCTGTGATCCAAATCTATAGTTGTGTGCTGCCAAAATCTGCTGTGAAATTGAGCCCAAGACAGCTGAGACGCCTGAAAAGACATGCATCTGCCAAGTAGTCATGCTTCGTCCAGAATGACTATGGGTGAGGGTGGGGGATCATAAATAGTCTCCAGCACTATAGGCTGTAACTCTGCTAGCAGGTGTATAGTTTCTTTGAAATATGATCAGAATGTCTATGCAATACACTGGGACTGATATTTAGAAACTACATATTATGAGAAAGTTAAAAAAATGTCCATAGATAAGGTATTAGGTAGGTGATATGACCTGGTCTTGCCCTTTCAAAATAATAATTATATTATTATCATTAACATTATTATCATCATGCCATCTACCCCCCAATAATTGAACTCAATTCAGGTTAAATTGTTATACAAAAAGATTGACAAAAGTATAAATATAAATGTTAATTTAAAAGAAATTAAACAATTTGTAAAGTCAAAACATCAAAACAAAATCTGTGAGGCACTGAGACCATAAAAAGAAATGAAGTCCCTAATGGATCTATGAAAAAGATGAGAAGTTATGTGGTCCACGCGTTGCCCACTTCTGTTGTAAGCCATTCAAAACAATGAAGCCATTCTGGCAGACAAGTGCCTTGAATTCTGGTTTCTACAGCAGCCCTGTGCCAGAAGCAGTGAGTTTCATTGGGTACACTAAATCCAATTATTTCTTAGGCTACTTCCTGATGAGGGAGAGTCTTCTTATTATGATTTATGCTTAACTGTGATTTTTTTTATTGCAATTGTTATGGATTGGCAGTGTTCAATGTAAGGCACTGAATTTTGCCAGCTATGTGTAAACCGCTTTGAGACCCCCTAGAGGTGAGAAAAGCTGTATATAAATACTGTAAATAAATTCTGCCTGAGACTAAAAGCCATCTTTAGTTTAAACAGACATTTCTTTTAAGAAAGAAAATATTATTTTTAAATTTTGTTCCACAATTTAACAATCATACCATTTTAATACATGTTGAGTATCCTTAAGCCAAAATGCTTGGGGTCAGATGCTTTTTGGGGGAAAAAATTATTGTGGAATATTTGCACATACAGAATGCTGCTGTTTTATCTATGTTTTTATTTAATTGTGTTTTTTGATTTAATGGATTGTTTTGCTTTTATGTCGTGTGAACATTCTGTCCCATATGTAAGCTGCTCCGAGTCCCTTTGAGAAGATGGTGTTGAGGTATAAGAATAAAGTTATTACCATCATCATCATCATCATCATCTTGGAAATGGTACCCAAGTCTAAACATAAAATGCATGTATGTTTAGTAAACAGAGTATACAGATAAGCTACAAGTAATTTTATACAATATATTTAATAATTTTGTGCAAGAAGCAAAGGTGTCATTATCTCAGCCAAATTCAGATTTTACAGCATTTTGGATTTCTGGAATAGTAATAGCCAATCTGTATAACTGTATTTTAAGTAAAGGTAAAGGTTTCCCCTTGACATTAAGTCTAGTTGTGGGGGTTGGTGCTCATTAAGTCCAATTCTGGGGGTTGTGCTCATCTCCATTTCTAAGCCGAAGAGCCAGTTTTGTCCGTAGACACCTCCAAATTCATGTGGTCGGGACGACTGCATGGAGCGTCGTTACCTTCCCACCAGAGCAGAACCTACTGATCTACTCACATTTGCATGTTTTCAAATTGCTAGGTTGGCAAAAGTTTCAATTAATACCTGCCAGTTTTTAATCTTATCCCAAAGATGTCGAAACTCTTCAAGGTTTATTCTTCCAGAATCATCTGCCTGTAATTTTTATATTCAGTTCAATAAGGTAAAGATACAACTAGACATTAAGCCTAGTCATATCCAACTCTGGGGATGCTCATCTCTATTTCTAAGCCAAAAGGTCATGTGGCCAGCATGACAGCATGGAGTGCCATTACCGTCCTGCCAAAGCGGCACCTATTGATCTACTCACATTTGCATGTTTTCAAACTACTAGGTTGGCAGAAGCTGGGGCTAACAGCAGGAGCTCACCCCACTCTCTGGATTCAAACCGCCAACCTTTCGGTCAGCAAATTCAGCAGCTCATCTGTTTAACCACTGCACCACTGGGGGCTCCTAATTGTATTTTAAATGGACACTTTTTACATGCTTTTTATATGGCTTTGTACTGTTATATTTCATTATTTTACTGTTAGTCACCTTGAACATATTTTAAGAATAGACAGAGTACAGAGGTAACAAATAAGTTAAGCTAACAAACAGATTTCACATCTAACTAAGAAAACTGTTTTTAAACTCTACCCAACAACGATAATTCTGCATCAAGTTCAGCCGAACAGCCTGGATGCTACCATCATAACAACCTGTATAGATCTGGAAAAAAGGAGAACAAACAAATTTTATTAATAAGACTAGAAAAAAAAATCCAAATCAAACTAAGGTGCTAAATGGCATTACTGGATAAGCTAAAATTCTTGATTTACTTTGCAGTAGCTTCCAAACATTAGGAAAAAGCACTTCTGGAAAAGGTTTCAAAAAGTATTTTTACAGTCTTTTAAAAGAGAACAAGCAGAACTGGAAAGTGAATACTAAACTACTTAAAAACCCTTTAGTTTCAATATTTCATGAATAAAAGAGTTAATATTAGTATTAAAAATATTGTAAGTACTGGTTAGCCTAGTCTTAGCTCTTTAAAAACATCCTCCTCATTAAGTTTGAACTTAAAATTCAAAATATATTAGGGGAACGATCACAAGAACAATCATAAAACGTAGGTTGCTTATAGTTATGAAGCCCTTACAATGCACTCGGGATTATTCCCTGAATAAAGGTCCAGCTTAATTACATTAAGCTGAGCTCAAACTTATGTGGGTGGAACCAAGTTGAAATCTTTGAGTCAAATTTGATTGAAGGCAAATCTTATTTAGGAGGAGCAAAAAGGAAACATTTGTGACAAAGCAATCTAGGCATTGACAGGTGTTCTAGGCCACTTACACAACAGAGTACGAGTCGCAAGGATATGAGAAATGTTCTAAAAATAGAAAAAGGGCATGTGTGTGCAAAAACAAAAAAAATGCAATCCCAATACCTCTATATGTTGTTTTAAATTGTATATTGTTTTTAATTGTTGTATACCGCAATGAGTCGCCAACTTAGGCTGAGATATTAGCGGTATACAAGTGTATTAAATAAATAAATAAATAAATATATCGGTCCGAACATTGCTGACCTTCCCAGAGCACAGGGAGCAAGAAATTTAAGGGACCCTGTTTACTCACGTTCCTTTGAATTCAAATTCAAGGCTCTGTGTGATCGAGAGTATTGTAGTGGAGTTCCTTAACCTAATAAAATTCCAATAGAAGGGCCAGTATCTAACCAGGATCAACAACACCTATTTACTACTATTGCCATTGTTATTATATATGCATGCACATAGAGATGTGTCCCATGGTTCTCCTGGTGATGGTTTCCAATGGGCTGCTGCTCTGATATTGCTTTGATGTTTGAAAAAAAAAAAGTCACTTTAGCTTATGTTAAAGCTGAAAAATCTTATTTCACAGCCAACAATAACAATGGGGCAAAAGTACTGGAAGCAAATTTGTGCTCATCAGATACAATTGTTTCTGGCTTTCCTTGAACCTTACTAGGGACTTTCAAGGGTCCATAGTAACAATGCTGTGAAGGATGAGGTTCTTCACAGATATTTGGCTAGGGAGACTAACCCACTCCTGAACAATTATTTCATTGAGGGACCCCATAACTTGATGGAAAAGAAAAATATTACCATGCTCTTATGAATGGCCATGCACATAATCATATCCGAATGTCCTCCATAGACTTGCAAACGATCATGGGACTTGAGGTGGGAATGGAAAAGGGGAGAAAAAAGTAGTTAATAACTGCATACATGAATAACTGCATAAATAAAGTAGTCAATAATTGCATACATTTCTTTTTAAAATGTGCTCACAGAGCTAATATGTACAGCTAACAACCTTCCACTTCTTGGGGAGAAGCATACTTCACAATGCTATTTCAATTCACAAAATGCTGCCAACCCTCCTGCCACAAAAAGCCACACTAAATAACCTCAGAAAAAGATGTTAAAACAATTAAAGGCTTCTAAATATTCAAATCAAACTACCTATGCATGATGAGCTAACCTGCAAACTGCAAAAGAAACAGAAAACACAGCTCAATGTGCTCATAAAATTGCCGCTTTTTCAGTAAATAAATGTTTCAGCTTGTGTACTCTCTTAAGGCCTGCTTCATAGAATCGTAAAGAGTTCGAAGAGAACCCCAGACCCATTCAGGTCATCTCCATTCTGTCATGCAGAACACACAATCAAAGCATTCCAGACAAGATGACCAGCCAACCTTTGCTTAAAAACCTCCAAAGGAAGAGACTCCACCACCCTCAAAGGCAACACATTCCACTGCTGAACAGCTCTCACTGTCAGGAAGGTCTTCCTAATGTTCAGGCAGAATCTTTTCCTGGAAGGATTATTTAGAATCTAACCTCGATTATTTCTAGACAAAAAACTCTGGGACTATTTAATTCCTTTTCATTTGTCTAGTAAATGGTCTGAGAGTTCCTGATCAAAGTATTTCTGAAATTAGATTTCTAAATAGTCTACAAAGAAGACCTAATGAATGCACGCAGACTGAAATGCATTTGAGCTTATTAACTAAATAAGCAAACATCCTCTGAGCATCTTGAGACACAGCTCCAGTTTCATTTACAGATTTTACTTGATGTTCCTCAATTTCTGCTCTTCTTTTAAACATGTAACACAATCCTAAGAATAAACTTAACTCAATCACATGTAGATGCTGTTAATTTTACTACAGGATTTATCTAAATGACGAAAATAGGCTATCAAGTGCCGAACTTTTTTTTTTTTTTTACTTTTTGGATCACAGGTCCATTTTGGCTGAGGGATTCCGCCTCTAAAGTTCCAATTTACTGTATTCTAAAACTTCCAATTAGAAAGTAACAGACGCTGAAATCTGCACAGCTGCTTCTCAACTCATTGTTTCGAGACATTGAATGTTTGCCCTTATGTCTGTATATGTCTGAATATGCTGGAATCTACCCTGAGTCCCCTCGGGGAGACAGGGCAGAATACACATAAAGTGTTGTTGTTGTTAAAAACCCAATTTTGAAATATGATGCATTGCTCTAAATTGCATCTCACTGAATGTTTGAATAATAATAATAATAATAATAATAATAATAATAATAATAATAATAATAATAATAATAAATTTATTAACGTATTTATACCCCGCTATCATCTCCCAAGGGACTCGGTGCGGCTTACATGAGGCCGAGCCCACAACACATCAATCACAAAGCAATAACAAATAATACAAAGCAATAAAATAAAACTCATAACAAAAAAGAAATAAACATTTAACAATAACACAGTGACAGTTAAAACCTATGGCTGGGCCAGATGCAATAATTAAAATTTAAAGATAATGCCGAGCATGAACAGATGAATATGAACTAGGATAGAGTTTTCAGAGAGGGATGGGGTAGGCAGACATTCCTAGATCCATAGTAAAGTGCATTTAGAGGACATAATGCTGGGAGTTTCTAAAATATTTCCATAGGATCACATGGGGAAAAGTACAACATTTAATATAAGCAGTCCCCAAATTACAAACAAAATAGCTTTTATAGGTTTGTTCTTAAGTTGAATTTGTTTGTAAGCACATTTTTAAGTGTGCCCCTGTTTAAAAGATTTCACCCCATTTTCTTTCCCTGTGATTACTGAATTTTGAAAAAAATGGCTTGTTGTGGAAACAAAGATTGATTATTAAGCTTCAGTGAAGACACCTTTCCCCCATGATAAGTCTTCAAAGAGTGAATTTCCTTTCCTAAGGCTAGATTCCTTTTGTCTTACCCCTGTTCTTAACTATGAGTCATTTGTAAATTGGATGTTTGTAACCCGGGGACTGCCGTACATATAAAAGTCAGTAGATATGGCTTTTAAATTGGAGTTATGTTGTATGGCATTAAAATCAACACATATAAATTCTTTCTTTTTTTACCTGCAGCTCATAAACACGAACACATTTGTCCAAGCAGGCTGTTACCATCACCTTTCCCAAGATGTTCACAACTGTTACTGCATGGTTGTGACCTTTGTAGATCCGCACCAACTCCCCAGTCTGAAAAAAAGGTTATCAAGTGATGGATAAATCAGAGACACCTGCCACTAGCATAGGCCACATGTGATCCCAGACTATTTTTACAGCTCCCAGGCATCTCCTCAAGCCGTGCAGAAACCCATGACAGTAGAATTTAACGGCAAACCAGGAATTTCTCCTTTAAAAAGCAGAAAAATAGCTTTTTAAAGGAAAAACTCTAACATCTGTTATTCACAGAGAAAACAAATGCACAAGTGTAACAGTCTGGGGTGTAATGGACGAGAGGAAAATTGCCAATAGCACCAACGTAGAGAGGACAAAGTATTATTCTGGCAACTTCTACAGCTGTAAATATTATAAGTGTATATTTTAATAATCCAGTCTGGTATAGTGGTTTGAGTGCTGGATTAGGATTCCAGGAGACCAGATTTCATATCCCCAATCAGTCATAGAAATGTGCTGGGTGACCTTGATGACCTTAAATTAGCCTCTCTCAGTTTAAGAGGAAGGAAATGACAAACTCTTCTGAATCATTATCACCAAGAAAATCCTATGATAGGATTGCCATGTCTCAAAGTCATACTGAAGGCACAATGCCACAAATATTTTAATACCTGGCTAAGATAACTTCTCATATAAAATAATACACAGCATGCCAACTATGAATATGTGTGCTTCACTTTCAGATACTCCAACAAACCTTGTTTCCATGAATGTTGGAGAAACATGGCAGTTTGTACATCTTTCTTCAACATGTCACATTGTGCGCATTCAGTGTTTGGCTGTCTAAAGTAACATACAAAATAGATTGCAATAAGCTGCCCTAAAAGCGCAACTTAATACCAGTTTGAGAAATCTGTAGTAGTGGCTAAGATTCTGGCTTCAGTAAGGAATTTAGGAAACTGTTTGGAACTGTTATATGCTAGGAAACCTGAAATGTTTCCTGTTTTTTTAGTTTCAAACACATTCAAAATCACTTTGTTTAAACTGTATGAGCAACTTACATGTATGTTGTGGGCATGGACAGACTGGTCACTGGAGCCACTGAACACCAGATCATTCACAACCTTGGAAAAGACAACCAGACATCCAGTCACTCATAAAATTTCATCAAGAGCTGCTCTCTTCCTTCTACCAACTCTGTTTAGCAGATTTAAAGCCTATTGCAAAAACACAAATATATGAACTGTGAGAGTTGTTCAGCACTAGAACTCTCTGCCCTGGAGTGTGGTGGAGGCTCCTTCTTTGGAGGCTTTTAAACAGAGGCTGGATGGCCATTTGTTGGGGTTCTTTGATTGTGATTTTCCTGCTTCTTGGCAGGAGATTAGACTGGATGGCCCACAAGGTCTCCTATGATTCTATGAACTACAGGCAGTCCCCAAGTTACAAACATCTGACTTACAAACAACTCATAATTAAGAACAGGGATGAGATAGCAGGAAGTGAGGGAAATCAACCCCTCAAAAGAGAAATTCACTCCTGAAAGAATTATTGTGGTGAAAAGATGTCACCACTGAAGCTTTATCAGCAATCCTTCTTTCCACAACAACCCAAATTTTCCAAAACCCAATTATCACAGGGACAGAAAGTGAGGTTCAATCTGCTATACAGGGGAGGGGCACAAACTGCAAAACAAACATCCAGATGGAATGTAACTAAGGTATGTACCACCGTGGCCAGATCTAGCTTTTCAAGGAACAGACACATTTGGCGCACCAGTTTTAATTGTGCAAAGGCCCTCCCAGCCACCGCAGATACCTGAGTCTCCAGGTTCAATACTGGAGGACCCCCAAACTGTGGGAGTTTCACTTGCAGGTGAAACGTCAGGAGAGAATGCTTCTGTAATATGGTCATATAGCTCGAAAAACTTACAACAACCCAGTGATTTCAGCCGTGAAAGCCTTTGACAATACATAGAACTGATCTTGAAAAAAGCTATTTTGTATTGATTTTTGCTATGGGTCTTCTAGGAGTTGTAGTCCAGAAAAGCAACCTTTTAAATTCTCAGAACTGAAATCTATCAGAAACAAACTCCAGTGATAGTGAGAAAAAGAAAGCAAAGGAATCCAAACAAAAGGCAACAAAAGGGGGGAAGAATGACTCATACTTATGCTATTGGATGAGACTAAAAGGAGAAAAGTTATAGCTTAGTGGCAGAACACACACTTGTGGAACATCTTTAGTTTAAAAACCTGGAATTTCATGTAAGGTTGGAAAGACCCATTTGAAGCTCCAAAGTGCTTCCGGTAATTAATGTATACCAGACTATGGGTTTTAGTTACAGATTTTGAAAGGCTCAAACAGGTAGAAACACCAAAGATTAAGTTTGCCCATGTAAAGCATTCATTTAAAGCTACTTGCCTTCATACAGAGTACAGTTTTGCTGTGACCTTCCAGGGTCCGAAGCAGAAGTCCGTTTCGGGCATCTCGGACACTGATTGTAGAATCATAGGATCCCACTATCAGCAATCTTCGTGCCCCTTCTTGGGCTGTGGCAAGACTGCTGATTGCTCGGGGACCGTGGCATTCAAAGATATCAAGTTGCTTGTTGTTCTGGAAAAACACACATTTTAACACATAATCAGTAGCCCTTTACTAATACAACCCCATTTCAAGAAAGCATTTTTGAGGGTGTGTTTGGATGTTCAAGCAAAAAACAGGTGCCTTTTACTGACCTGAAATCTACGCCACTAAAGTGCTAAGCCCCCATTTATTTCAGCTTTTAAAATAAGCTCTTAGTTAAAAATATGAAAGCGGGGTTTTTTTTTCAGTATTAGTTAGCTGCAACTGCCACAACATTTAGAAATGGCTCTAATGGAATACACCTCAAATGCTTACCTTTATACTGAAAGAAACCACATTTCCATTTGCAAGTCCTGCATAAAGGATCCTCCATCTACTATGCAGGCAGAGCACACGGTCATCAAGTTTAAACTGATCCAGAAGTTTTCTAGTCTGTTAACAGGAAGACAACAGTGATAAATTTAGTAATTGAGAGATTTAGTGATCCTCTTTAGACAAAGTGGCCCTAAAGAAGAAATCTGAAAGCGATCTTTGTTAATTAATCATATTGTATGGAGCTGGCAGGCCTTCATTCCAAACAGCAGTTATGTCCATTGAGGCACACTGAGTGAATTAGCAACTTAATTGTAAAAGTGAACTGAACTGTATAAATAGGCTCACTTTTCCAAATGGTAACATGTAGATCCAGAGTACTGTAGTGATTTTAGCATTTTATTTTGGAGGCCATGGTTTGAATATCTGCCCAACCATGGAAACTCACTGGGTGACCTTGGGCAAATCATACTCACAGTCTCAGAAGAAGGTAAGGTTACTGTATTTACAGCCACTTCCACTGATGCCCTACATGTGGCTAAAAAGAGAAGTCCTCCCTCTCTATTTACAGGTCTTCCATCATGATGGCATGGTCAACATAATAATAATAATAATAATAATAATAATAATAATAATAATAATAGGAACAAGCCATCAAAACAAATGCAATCAAGGCCAGGATCAAACAATCAGCTGATGACCCAAAATGCAGACTGGGCAAGGAAGCTGATGAAACCATGGACCATATACTCAGCTGTTGCAAGAAAATAGCACAGACGGACTACAAACAAAGACCCAACTCTGTGGCCCAAATGATTCACAGGAACTTATGTCACAAGTACAACCTGCCAGCAGCAAAGAATTGGTGGGATCCATAAACCCCCAAAGGTCGTGGAAAATGAACATGCAAAAATACTGTGGGACTTTCGAATCCAGATTGACACAACACGCCAGACATCACGATTGTGGAAAAGAAAAAAGTCTGGATTATTGAATTCGCCATACCAGGTGACAGCCATATTGAGGAAAAACAACAGGAAAAACTCAGCCGCTATCAAGACCTCAAAATCAAACTGCAACAGCTCTGGCATAAACCAGTACAGATGGTTCCAGTGGTCATTGGCACACTGGGTGCGTGCGAAAAGATCTCAGCCGGCATTTAGAAACAATAAACATCGACAAAATCACGACCTGTCAACTGCAAAAGGCTACCATACTTGGATCTGCGCGCATCATTCGAAAATACATCACACAGTCCTAGAAGCTTGGGAAGTGTTTGACTTGTGATTGTGATATGAAATCCAGCATATAGATCTCATTTGCTGTGACATACTGTGCTTTTGTGGTGATAATAATAATAATAACTTTATTTATATACCGCTCTATCTCCCCTAGGGGACTCAGGGCGGTTTCCATATAATAAAACACAAAAACATACAGAGTAAGCAAAACATAAGCATAAAATTATCAAAACAGCATGAAATTATCAAAACACATATACATTAAAAATCAATCCCACCCAGTTCTTTCATCCAAGATTAACTGTTTGGGCCAGGATTTCAGAGTGGGCCTAGGCAAATTAAGAGGGCCAGACCAAGGCTAATACAAAGCAAGACATGGGGGGCCAGGGGAACAGGTAAAGTGAAATAACCGGCTCCAACAATAGTAATAGTGGGGCCTGTGGCTGTTCATTTCCAGGGCCTATTGAGGAACTGTCCAGGGTAGTGGGTGGGAGTGCAAGTCCCCGGCCAAGGGCAGGGGCTAGTAGTAGTCATTCTTGAAGGCCTGGTGAAACCACTAAGTCTTCAAGCTCTTACAAAAAGAGGAGAGGGATGGGGCCTGCCTTATTTCTCAGAAGAGGGCCTTCCAGACGTGAGGGGGCCACCACCGAGAAGGCCCTTTCTCTCATCCCCACCAACTGTGTTAGTGACAGTGGTGGGAATGAGAGAAGGGGCTCCGCAGTAGATCTTAGGGTTCCCGTTGGTTCATAGAAGGAGATGCGATCTCAAAGATAGGCAGAGATTGAACTGTTTAGGGCTAGAAGTTCAACAAATGCTTAGAAAAGTGTTATCTCAGGTTAAAAAAAAGTATTTACAGTTTTATTTACATGGGCTGTTTTTTCCCTTTCACAAGGACACTGCAGTTCTAACCCCTTTAAACATATAGAGACCACTGTTTTCTTTCAAAACATTTAAACATTTTTGTTTACAATTACCTTGATGTTATAACAATTTATGTTGTGGTCACTGGAGCCTGAATAGAGTGCTGAACTTTTCCCTGTTGTCTGAGTCACCAGGAGGCAGTTCACTTTTGAGGTATGCCCTTCAAAAACACCAACACACTTCCTGTTCTGTGAAAGGTGGAGTAAAGCATTACAACATTAATTTACTCAAACCCTGGAAACAGATCATAATGTGAGACACATCCAAAAGCTTTGTTTCAAAATTAATCATTTATCTTCCTGCTCCTGTGCCGTTAAGAAACATATGGGCAATATACCCACCAGTCATGTACACAAACGTTTTCCAATTAATTTTCCTGCCTGAATTGTTTCATGTTGTTCAAATACAAACATGATATGTGAGGATGGATTGCAAGTCATTGCTACAGCTACATTATTATATATAAGGTTTTCTTGATAAGCAAAATAACATTCGAGTATAAATTGGGATAGTTAAACTATAGTTCTCCAGATAGGAGATTCCAGTTAGGCCCAACTAATACAGCCAAAGATGAGGAGTGACAGACACTGAAGTCCAGTGACATCTAGAGCAGTGTTTCTCAACCTTCCTAATGTTGTGACTCCTTAATACAGTTCCTCATGTTGTGGTGACCCCCAACCATAAAATTATTTTTATTGCTACTTTATAACTGTAATTTTGCTACTGTTATAAATCATAATGCAAATATCTGATATGCAGGATGTATTTTCATTCACTGGATCAAATTTAGCACAAGTACACGATACGTCCAAATTTGAATACTGGTGGGATTGGAGGCGTGGGGAATGATTTGGTCATTTGGGAGTTGCAGTTGCTGGGATTTATAATTAACCTACAATTGAGCATTCTGAACTCTACCAACAATGGAATTGAACCAAACTTGGTACACGGAACTCCCATGACCAACAGAAAATACTGGAAGGGTTTGATAGGCATTGACCTTGAGTTTTGGAGTTGTAATTCACCTACATCCAGAGAGCACTGTGGACTCAAACAATGATGGATCTGGAGCCAACTTGGCACAAATATCCAATATTCCCAAATGTGAACACTGGTGGAGTTTGGGGAAAATAAACCTTGACATTTGGGACATTTTCTGGGATTCACCTAAGTCAAAGAGCACTCTGAACCCCACCAATGATAGAATAGGGCCAAACTTCCTACACAGAACCCCCATGCCTTGAAGGGACTCGCTGGCGTGAGCCTCCCTCCAACTTCACACACTCTCCCTCGCCCACACATGCGCACCACGCTGGCATGCACCGATCACGCCTGCTTTTCCCTCCACACTTGGGGAGTCTCAGAAACAGCCCTCTCCTTGGCTGAGAGACCAGCCAGTCACATTTTATTACTTCGAAACAGCTCTGATCCTAACTGAGGATAGTGAAAAAGTTGGAGTTGAACTTCACTGGTTTTGCTGTATTTAACTGCTTGAAATCATGCTCCATTAACTCTGGTTGTATTGTCTGGTGTTTTGTGGGATTTTACATGGGAACATAGGCTTCAACACGCAGAACATCCTCAGTCAGTCTGCTTACCACTAAGTTAAATGCACGGACAGTTTTGTCTGCTGAGCAGGTGTACAGCAAATTCCCATAAATCTGCATGGCATTTACTGAAGCCGAATGGCCTTCAAAAACCCCTTCAGTGGGTTCTTCTTCTTCCCCTGGCTCTGAAGAAACTTCTGTCAAATACAATGGTCAACGTCTGAAGTTAATTACACATCTTGTTAATAATACCATAATAAAATAAAACTAAATAAGAAAAGCCTTCATGCTAAAATACCAGGTGCTTGGCTAATGTAGTTTACTGCATTATTGGATGTGAGGGCGATCTGGTTGCAACATCTGTTCTGCCAGATCGCCAATGTTGTAAAAAACAAAAATGTAATCTTTGAGTTCTTACTTAAAAGAATAGGAAAAGGAGCCAAGATTAAATTTAGTGTAGAAAACTAGATAATAATATGAGTAGTTGTGAGTTTTTTGGGCTGTATGGCTATGTTCCAAAAGCATTCTCTCCTGATGTTTCACCACATCTATGGCAGGCATCCTCAGAGGTTGTGAGGTTTGTTGAAAACTAGGCAAGTGGGGTTTATATATCTGTGGAATGTCCAGGGTGGGAGAAAGAACTCTTGTCTGTTTGAGGCAAGTGTGAATGCTGCAATTGATTACTTTGATCATTTTGATTAGCCTTGCAGCTTCAAGGCTTGGCTGCTTCGTGGCTGGGTGAATCATTTGTTGGGAGCTGTTTAGCTGGCCCTGATTCTTTCTTGTCTGGAATTCCCCTGTTTATGAGTGTTATTCTTTCTTTACTGTAGTGATTTTAGAGTTTTTTTAATACTGGTAGCCAGATTATATAGTATATCAGGGAGGGAAATGTTTAACCCATGTGTGGCTCCAATGCCCTGACTACAAAAGCCCACCCTTTAGATTTTTCTATGTGCTGCTAGTATTTGTGCTGGTGAGACAAATAATGCATGGAAGAATCCCACTGCTATCTCCAATCATTAATCAACAGTGGCATCCCATAGTTCCCCACTTCTGATCTACATGATCTTTGAGCCAAAGAGGAAGATAATTGAATTTGATCTTTAGGAATCATGGAAGGACCCCAAGGATCATCGTGTCTATTGATTCCTCCACTCCATCATATAGGAATCTACAGCTAAAGCTTTATGGCTGATCCAATCTCTTTTTTAAAAACTCAAATGAAGGAGAGCTAATCACTTTCTGGAATATTCCAATTCACTATCTAACTACTTTGACCAGGGGTCCTCAAACTAAGGCCCAAGGGTCAGATGCGGCCCTCCAAGGTCATTTACCCGGCCCTCGCTCAGGGTCAACCTAAGTGTGAAATGACTTGAAAGCACATAACAACAACAATCCTATCTCATCAGCCAAAAGTAGGCCCATACTTCCCATTGAAATACTAACAATTTTGTATTTGTTAAAATTGTTCTTCATTTTAATTATTGTATTAAGCGTTATTTGCACTACAAATAAGATAGGTATGTGCATAGGAATTCATTCTTCTTCTTTTTTTCAAATTATAATCCGGCCCTCCAACAGTTTGAGGGACTGTGACCTGGCCCTCTGTTTAAAAAGTTTGAGGACCCCTGACTTTGACCATCAGGAAGTGCATTCTAATGTTCAGCTGGAATATTCTTCCGTGAAATGTAATACAACTGGTGTAGGTCCTTATCCCTTGGTGAAGCAGAAAACAAGCTCATTCAAACTAGCAACTGGCTTTAAATTGCCAACATTCTTTAGTTCAAGAAGAAGATTAGTGTGCTATATGTGTTTAAACAAACCATCTCACAGTAGTCTTTGACTCCATAATTAGCTAGTTGTAGCTGCCATGTGTATCTAGGAAACATTATGGGGTCTCTTCAAAACAGGTTGCTTGGCTATGGAGAAATCTCATATCAAGTAGATCAAAAAGGCAGCAAAGAGCGTAAACATTCAAAAACCACAATAACTAAATTATTTTTAACACAATATTAAAAATTAACTAGGTATTTTTATTTACCAAAATGTGAGTCAAGCACTGAAATGGTTAAATGGATTAAATGACTCAACAAAAGCAGTAGTTCAATATAAGCAGGTGTGCCTGTTGCTTAGTAACACCCCAGTCTGAGAGAGCTCTCAGTGTGAGAGAAGCCTCTCTGTGTGAGAAAATGCCTCAGTGGTAGTAGGCCTCACTGTGGGAGAAAGGCCTCAGAGTGTGAGGTAGGCTTCGTTATGAGAAGGACTCGTGTGTGAAGCTCCAGTGTGAAGGTTGAACTTTATTTGTGTTATGGAAACCTTGTTCTTGTAAATAATGCAATCATATTATTTTGCTATAAAGAAAAGCCTCCTATGAAAGAGATAACATTGGTCTGTGTGTTTTTGGGTTTTTTAAATCACTTTGGGCTACTGGTGTTGGATCACGCCATTGCTGTACAATTATGGGGAAGGTCATTTGTTAATTAGCCCACTCACCCAACAATAACCAGCCCAGAAATTTAGGTATCTGAATTTTATTCTTGCAATATTTCAGCAATGTTTCTTCTCCACTAAAAAAAACACATATGGATTACCTGATGAGTTTTTTGATCCTCTCAATGATGATACAGATGTTTGAGTCTCAGCTATACTGTAGAGAGAGAAAAAGAATATAAAATCACTAAAACATTTAGGCTTTCCATATACACAAAAATACAGTTGTAAATTATTTTAATGCAAAAGCCTCCGGAAAAATATTTCCAAGGGAAAGAAGTGACAACTAGAACCACATTAACATACTTTGCAACTAGCAACTATGAAACAAAGTTTCCATTCTATAAGAATTGCTTCACTGAGTCTATTTGAGCAAGGACAACAAGGATATTAGTATTTAAAAAGGACTCTTGCCAAACAGCTTTATAAAACAGGAGAAATTCAAAGTACAACATGAAGAAGTCCATAAACTCTTATCAGTTACTACAGTAACACAAATGTAGGGAGAAATGCAGGCTTTCCAACTCACCTTCTAGCTACACCGTCCCTATAGATTGTTCCAATCTCACTAGTAGAACTGACTTCATCATAGCCAGATCGAGATGCTTCTCTTAAAATTTGTTCCGAGGAGTTCAAGGCAATCCTCTTGGAAGGGCTGTCTGGTTTTTCGTCTCCTGACTCTGATGAGGGGATGGTTACCACTTCAAGAGGAGATTTGGGAACTTCCACAAATTCCAGAGATGTGTCACTTTCATCCTCATCTTTTGCATTCTTTCCTTCCTCGGGAGCATCCTCTTGCTTTGGAAGGCTGGATGTGGTCACGTTTCCCCCTTTGGGTGCCCTGATTGCCTTGACTTTCCTGAGAGGTTTTGAATCACTTACATCTTGTTCTGTATCACTGTTCTCAGGCACACGGGCTGCTGCTCGCAGGGCCTTCTTCTTTTTCAATTTTTTCTTTTTCTTTTTCTTGTTCATTTTACTTTCTAAGGGATTCAGAGTAGAGACCGCCATCTGCTCCGGCTGTTCCATTGTCCTTTTGGAATCTTCCTTCACAGATGGATCAGAAGGAAAGGACTGGCTTTGAAGTGAACTACTGCATTGCTCTGAGATGGTTTTGTCCCCTGACACTTTCTCTTCTTCTGTCTGCATGGACAAGTGTAAGGGCGAATAGCTAATGGAAGCAGGACCAGATAACCTAGTCCTCTCCTTATCTGAAACAAGGTTCTGTATATCTTGATTAGGTTCTTGGAAATCAAGGAGTCCTGACAAGGTCATGGCAGCATTGATAACTGGGTACAGCGAAGGCTGCTGACTTGTATTCCCTAAAGAAAGAACACAATATTTCACCTAACAGAACAAATAACATTTGTGCAGTGTAGCCTTAGTCAGATATTGCTTTCCATGGTAACTCACTGAAATTACCTGATTAAATTTAGGCTATTCGTTGGGATGGTGGCTTCTACTTGTACAATAAGCACTTTCATTTATTTATTTATTCATTTAAAGCATTTATATTCTGCCCTTCTCACCCACAAGGGGACTTAGGGTGGAGCACAACATATAAACTGCAAACATTCAATGCCGAAACATACTAGACTATACACATATAAAAACATTAAAATCACTAATATTGATTTAAAATCCTCTGTTTAACTTTGACAGTTTATGTCAGGGGTCCTCAAACTAAGGCCCGAGGGCCGGAGACGGCCCTCCAACATCATTTACCCGGCCCTCGCTCAGGGTCATCCTAAGTCTGAAATGACTTGAAAGCAGACAACAACAACAACAAAATCCACAACAATCCTATCTCATCAGCCAAAAGCAGGCCAAACTTCCCATTGAAAAACTAATAAGTTTATATTTGTTAAAATTGTTCTTCATTTTAATTATTGTATTGTTTTTAAGTGGGGTTTTTTTTTTTGCATTACAAATAAGATATGTGCAGTATGCATAGGAATTCATTTGTGTGTGTGGGGGGGGGGGGTTTTCCAAATTATAATCCGGCCCTCCAACAGTTTGAGGGACTGTGACCTGGCCCTCTGCTTAATAAGTTTGAGGACCCCTGGTTTATGCAGTCTAGCATTTACTGTTGGACTGTACCCAGAGATTACTGTATATACTAGACTAGTATAAGCCGACCTGAATACAAGCCGAGTCACCTAATTTTACCACAAAAAACTGGGAAAACATATTGATTCGAGTATAAGTCTAGGGTGGGAAATTAAGCAGCTATTGGTAAATTGCAAAATAAAAATATTTAGCAATAAAATCACATTAACTGAGGTATCAGTAGGTTAGATGTTTTTGAATATTTACATAAAAATGTAATTTAGGATATGACTGCCCAACTCTGCTTAAACCATTATTCTAACCTTCTTCAATGTAAATGTGCTTACGTATCCTTCCAACAATAACAGAGTAAAATAATGGTAATGTAATAACAACTGTAATAATAGAGTAAAATAATAAATGTAATAACAATAATAGAGTAAAATCATAAATGTAATAATAATAATAATAACAACAACAACAACAGAGTAAAATAATAAATAAGCTTGACTCAAATATAAGCCGAGGAGGGCTAATTCAGTATTTAAAAAGGGGACTGGAAACTTGGCTTATACTCGAGTATATACGGCACTTTAGTTCCTGCTCCAGTCTATAGGGAACCAATAAGTACCCCTAAACTCATTTCTGGATCTATGTAACAGAAATTTGAACTATGTTTTTAACTGGAGTCTTCTGAGGAGAACAGTAGCTAGGAATTTCAGCAAGCTACAGGTTTAAAACTTTATACCTTTAGGCTGACTCTAATGTTCTGAGAAATAACACATCTATATTAAAAAAAACAATTTGTGAATGAAATGGGCTATATAACACTTACTTCAATGAGAAACTCAAAAATTAAGTTTTCTTAGTTACAAGATTAGGAGTTTAGCACACACTGAAATTTATAATAATCACAATCTAATCTTTATTTATATCCCGCCCCCTCTCCACAAGGACTCGGGTCGGCTTACAACAAAATCAACACAATACATACAAAACGAAAATTTAAAAAAGGCAATACATTAAATGTAAATTGTGTAATTAAACACAATTAATGGGATTGTTTCTTCCATTAAGGTATAATAAAGTGAAAAGGGGGTTAGAGACAAATATACTAAATCAGTATGATTATTATTGTGTTGTCAAAGGCTTTCATGGCCAGAATCACTGGGTTGCTGTGAGTTTTCTGGGCTATATGGCCATATTCTAGAAGAATTCTCTCCTGACATTTCACCCACATCTATAGCAGGCATCCTCAAAAGTTGTGAGGTTTGTTGGAAACTAGGCAAGTGAGGTTTATATATCTGTGGAATGTCCCAGTGGGAGAAAGAACTCTTCTCTGCTTGAGGCCGGTGTTAATGTTGCAATTGGCCACCTAGATTAGCACTTAATGGCCTTGCAGCTTCAAAAACTGGCTGATTAAATGCAAGGCCATTAAATGCTACTCAAGGTGGCCAATTGTGGCATTCACACTTGCCTCAAGCAGACAAGAGTTCTTTCTCTCGCCGTGGACATTCCAGAGATATATAAACCTCACTTGTCTAGTTTCCAACTGACCTCACAACCTCTGAGGATGCCTGCCATAGTTGTGAGCAAAATGGCAGGAGAGAATGCTTCTGGAACAAAGCCATACAGCCCAGAAAACTCACAGCAACCTAATTCATTATTATTGTTAAATATAATGATTACCTTGAGACTATTTCCAAAATGGAGGATCTAACTTTGGTTATGAGTTTTCCTATCTGAGTGTAGAATGGTCTGAACTTCTAGATGCTTTCCCTCTCTGTTCAACTGATGGCATATCTGGAGGGAAAATGACACTCCTAGGCTGAACTGGATACACTGCCAAACTTTCTCCAGCATCAACTTGTGGAAGTTTTTGGCAAAAGTGCAAACATAAGGTTGGCAGTTCTTCAATAGCCTAATTCTACCCTTCACACTTCTTTTGCTGTCCTTCCAGAGAAGGTACTATTTAGGGAAGACAGACAACTATGCTGGCTGCTACTAAGGCTGAGCTCATAAACAGAACAGGGACAATGTTACTGAACTCATTTTACAGAAATCCAGACTTTGTACAAGTCAACATAGATACACAAAATTGTCTTCTAAAATAGGAGACTACCACACACCATCATGAAACTGAAGTGCCATTTGCGAAGAACATAGGGAGCTCTGTTCAGGACCATTTCTGTTCTCTTCCCCAGGCTTTGGAGAGGTTCGTTCTTGCTTGATCTGAACTGATAAGTCAGGGACGGTGATGGTTCCAAGGTTGCTGGTGGTTTGGAATGTAGATGGGCCATTTATCTGGATGGTGGCTGCAGGGAGCTGGGAAGGGAGTGGTGAAACAGACTCCAGCAGAGGAACAACAAGACCTGAATCTACAGTAAGATCCTGTGTTGGCTGAAGCTTGCCTCTTTTTTCAGTTGAGTCATTGGAACAAAGCTGCTGTGAGTGCTCTAAAGGATCAAAGCTTTCTGTGAAGAATAAATGCATTTTGTATCAATTTCTATTTTATTTTAAATAACCAATGTGTCAACACAGTAAGAGTTAGCTCCAAATACCTTGCAACCCTTGCAGGATCTGAATTCTCTGGGTCCTCAAAGTCCCCATTTCCACTGATATCTGGAAGACAAGAGAGGGTCTATCAAAAACAAAATGCAAACTAAAAAACACATACAAACTTACAACACTGTCAGAGTCAGAGATAACAGGTTTCCAAATGAAGAGCACACACCTGCTGTTTCATCACCATCAGTCGCTGGACTTCAATATAAGCTGCCTGAAGAGCAGCCCGGGCCTGGACTAGGCTTCCATCTACACATTGCAAGGATTTGTTCAGCTCTTCTTCTCTCAGAGATACAGACAGCAACTGATCCACTTGAGAACGCTCTGCCCAAAAAAGCATTTTAAAGGGTAAAAAAATAATAATAATACATGACCTGGCCTGCTCCCACTTTCGGGGCATTTATAGTATGTATCTGAGTCCCATTTAAATTGTTTATATTTTCATAAAGCCCTCTACAATAGAAACATAACAATAGAAACGAGATATCATCAAGAATACTATCACAATTTTCATGAAGCACCATAAGCTTGCCTAAGAAGTGGAATTTTGGCAGTGTGCCTCCTAAAAAATTAAACACAGTCCAAATAATGCATTACACTCACCTTTTTTGCCTTTAATCTTCCTTCGTTTATTCTTTCTTTCTAGGCTAGGAATCTCAGGAGAGGATCCCTCCTGAAAAGTGAAATATACACATTCCTTATTTGTTAAGTAACAGAGTTCATGCATACAGCTTACATATCTACTGCCATTTCAAGTCATTGCTTGCCTACCAAGTCTATCTCAGGCATAAGTGTTTAGATAAACACAATAGAAACAATGAGTCCTATCTTTGCTACTAGTTGAAGTCAGGTCTCACTGAAATCAATGGGTAAGGTACATGATGACTGTTTTCAATGGGAGGAATACTCAACTAACATGCTACATAATCCTATGCATGTTGTATTAAAGGTGAGTCTAGGGACTACACCAGCTCACAGAAAATCAGATGTAAAAAAAATGATACATTTCCCATAGTTCTACTTTTACCTATAGGTCACCTGGGCTGTTACTGTTACGTCTGTCTTTAAGGCCTGATCAATGAAACATTTTAGTAAAACAAGCAACATATAATGCAAGATAATTGTCAGATATCTTTATGTGATTTGCCGATTGGCTGAGAAAGGCGGTATACAAATACTGCCTTTCCAGGCGGTATTTGTGGGTGGACAGCAGTAACTGTTCCTTCAAACCGGTAAATTGAAACCACACAAAGAACCACAAATACAGTACTAATCATGCATGAAAGAAGCAAGAAAACAGAACACATGTGAAGAAGCTAAACATTTCAGAGCAAATTAGCAATCGTGACCAATTACCATATAATTTCTATAAATCAGGATGGCAACATATGGCTTAATGAACCAGAATGATTATACATTTCTGGTAAATTTTCAGATGTTTTCACAAAGTTTAGTAAAGGTAAATGTTTCTCTTTGACATTAAGTCTAGTCATGTCTGACTCTGGGTGGGGGGGTGCTCCTCTCCATTTCTAAGCCGAAGAGCAGGCGTTGTCTGTAGACACCTCCAAGGTCATGTGGCCAGCATGACTACATGGAACGCTGTTACCTTCCCGCTGGAGCAGTACCGATTGATCTATTCATATTTGCATGTTTTCGAACTGCTAGGTTGGCAGAAGTTGGGGCTAATAGCAGTTCACCCTGCTCCCCGGATTTGAACTGTGGACCATTCGGTCAGCAAGTTCAGCAGCTCAACAGTGTAACTTGCTGCACCGGGGGGGGGGGGGGGGGGGGGGGGGGTCTCCTTCACAAAGTTTACATAACTGCAAATCCAAATTTGTTTTTACACCAATATTTGGACAACTTACTCCAGTTGCTCTTCTCTTTTTGCCAGTTCCCTGGCTATCATTCTGCTCATTGCCTGACGTACAGCTGCTATCTGTAGCAATATCTAGAGTACTACAGGTAGTAAAGGCTGAACCAATGTAGTATCTCTCTCCTGGACTCTCCAGCATATCTTGACTTTCAAGTGACTGGGTTCCATAATTAGAGCTTCTCTGGGCTTGACTTGCACTAAATGCAGAGACTCTGTTCACATCAGGTGGTGTCTGTAGGCTGAGCCTTCTTTCTAAGTCAGCCCTTTCAGACATGAATGGTGAAGAAGGAAGGGAAGCGGATTCTTGTTTCACACTGGTCACAATGTCTGCAAGCATCTGGGATCTAGAAGTTATGTTCTCATTGTTGGCAACTGTACTGATTTTTTCCTTTTCTTTGGTCATTCTTTGGTGGCTGAAGAAACTGTAAACAGAGGCTGTCTTTTCTGTAGCCACACTGCTTTCTGAGAGGCTACGTTTCCTCACAGTCCCAGGGGAGCCTATGGAGATCCCTTCCCACTGGAATCCTTCAAGTCTCGCCAGGTCAGCTTCGTCATCCAAATCAAGACCCTCTTGTTCATTCTGGATGAGGGGAACCATTTCAATACCAAACCTTCAAGTAAAAAAAAGAAAATAAATACTCAAGGGTGGAAATTCTACTAAAATAATAAAAAGTTTCACAGTTATAATCACAATTAAATTTATTCTATGTATCAGTCTACTCAACTTCCTTATCTTTTAGCCACAAGGTTACTGAACATCAACTGAGCATCTTCTTTGTAATGCCAGAATTCACAAAAGTATTTTAAGAAAAACCAGGCTAATGCTGCAAACATTACTTTAGTGATTAGATTAATGATTTATCCAATATGTGAAATATGTTATATTGAAAAGAGTAGAAGGGAGACAAAAGCAAGGCCTGTAATGCTTGTGAACTATAAATCTCACTCAAGCTATACTATTAAATTCTATACCTTATCCACACTATACTGTTTAAAATGCAACTACCGTATATACTCGAGTATAAGCCAACCTGAATTTAAGCAGAGGCATCTAATTTTACCACCAAAACCTGGAAAAACATATTGACCCGAGTATAAGCCGAGGGTAAGAAATGCAGCAGCTAATGGTAAATTTCAAAATAAAAATAGTTAGCAATAAAATCACATTAATTGAGATATCTGTAGGTTAAATGTTTTAGAATATTTACATAAAACTGTAATTTAAGATAAGACTGTTCAACTCTGATTGAACCATTATTCTAACCTTCTTCAATGTAAATGTGCTTACGTAGTCTTCCAATAATAATAAATACAATAAAATAATATATGTAGTAAAATAATAATAGGATAAAATAACAGAAATGTAATAACAGTAATAGAGTAAAATAATAAATATAATAAGAGTAAAATAAATGTAATAATAATAACAATAATAATAATAATAGAGTAACATAATAAATGTAATAATAATAGGGTAAATAATAAATTTAATAAAAATACTAATAATAACAGAGCAAAATAATAAATAACTTTGACTAGAGTATAAGCTGAGGAGGGCTTTCTCAGGCTAAAAAATTAGGCTTATACGTGAGTATATATAGTATTTAACTTCTCAAAAAAAGATCACAACAGATTAATCTGTACACCACCATGACAGTTTTGCATTCAAGCATGGGCTATACATTTACTATATATAAGTGTGTTACCTTGGTAAACCTTTGCCAAGTTCTTGCTTCTTCTTTGTCACTTGTTGAATGACCTGTTCCCAGTTTACATTTCTACGAGACACACTAATAATCTGTCGCAAGGTAGGCTTGAGCCCCAATTCCTTCTCAGTTTCACTTTTTCTATGGCCGCTGACATTTCGAATACGTCTTGCATTGTTGAGGTTCGGCTCTGGTAGATGTGAGCCAGTTTTGCTCTTCAAACTGGTGCGCCATGTCAGGTCTCTTTGCAGATAAGCTGGGAAGCCAAGTTTACTCAGTTCAGGAAGCAGATGCCCTGAGGGCTGCCCTGCTGCATCTTTCTGTAGTTCATGGTTTGAATGAACACCACAGCCTTCATCTTCAAGGGCACTATCTGATTTTAAAGTGTCTTCATCATGATCTTCTTCCAGTGAAGCTTTCAGGTCAATATCTAAGTTGTGTTCACCGCTGGATTGCAAATCGAGAAGGTCCATTTGGAATTTGGCAGATTTTTTCTCAGCATCATCCAATTCTCTTATGTAGTCACTTTTTGGGGTTGCAGTATTGTCTGGATCAGTCTGTGCACAAGGTGAGCAAGCATTTGAAACAGTATTTTGGTTTCCTGTTACATCTCTGTGGCTCTCATTTTCCAATACTTCTATCTCGGACTCCTCCATCTTTAAACCTTGTTCAGGATCCTCAATACTCCAATTGTCTTTCCTGTCAGTCTGAGTGCCTCTACAAGTGCCTGAAAAAGAGTTTTGGGGAGAACTGTTGCACTGTAGTTCCGCTTTGGTCTTGTTACAGTTATTACAAGCATTGTTTGGTTTAGGTCCATATGATGATGAACTTTTACCTTCTACATTAAGCATGTTCACTTGGCTCTGACATTCTCCAGAGGATGAGGATAACAAAAGCTGGACTTGTTTCAAGAGATTCTTTGGGCTTCTTTTTTGTGAAGATGCTTTCATATCTGGAATAGCTAGGAGTGGTGATTTTAAGGATGGCATCCTATTGCCTTTGCCTTCAGTCTGGTTTGATTTCATCTCGCTAGTGCCATCTGTCGACCCTCTGCAGGACACGGATTTGTTGCCTGTCATTTTGTTATTTGAAGTTCCTGAGTAAGTTTCTTCCCATTTCTTTCCTTTTGAATTGACAGTTTTAGGCTCCACCAATTTTGCAGACAGCTGAGAGGAAGAGGGATGGGCAAAACCTGTTTTTTCTGGATTTTTTTCTGCAGTCGCATCTGACAGTGGATGTTGTTCTACGGTTTTCTGAGAAGGATACGGAGCCCAGCGATTTGTCTTTTCTCGGCAGGGGCTGCTGCACTTTCCATTGATTTTGGACATCTTGCAGTCTAGTTGTTCGGAAACAAAGTTTAATAATTGATCTGAAGACAGCTGATCACTTGTGAAATCTAATACGGAATTCATGTCATCATTTTCATTGGCTAGGTCTGCATAAGATGCTACAGAATCATGCTCCTGCCACTGCCAAACATAGCGTTCTTCCCTATATTTATCTTGGATGCCCTTGCTTTTTAACCAGGAGGCATCCATGCTCTCTGTCTGGGAATTATTGTTTGCAGCTCTGCTTCTTCCAAAATTCCATTCATTTGTCTTCTGTTGACTGGACTTCCAGTTTCCTCCTGCGTTTTTGGGCTGCCAATTAGAAAAGACATTATTTCCTTCAGAATTCCAGTTGGAATTCCTTCCCCTGACTCCATGATGCCAGCTAGATGTTCCTCCTCCAGGATTCTTATGCCAAGCACCTCCAGGATTCCCATAGTTGTGATACCAATTTGAAGGTCCTCCCGAATTATTTGGATGCCATCCAGGTCGTCCTCTTTGGCTGGTCAGATGCCTGTTCATATTATTAGGCTTTCTTGCAGAATGTGTGAATTTGCCTTGTCTTGGATTTGAGAAGCCATCTTTTTCCCACTTCCAGTCTCTCTGTGATGGTCCATGGTGATACCTTGATGTTGAATCAAATGCGTCTCGGTCTTGATAAGAGGTTCTATCATCTTGTCGTCTTTGCAAGTGCCTGTCATCACCTTCTGTTTCATGGTTCATGCGGCACCTTTTATCTGCTCTGTAAAGACACAAGCATATTAACTAAGTCCTCAGAAAGTCTATTCCAATTCATTCTCAACAACAAAGGATTAAAAATATGTATTAGACTAAACATATCCTCTAAAAATGTTGACTTGTTTGCTCACCAATGACAAGAAGCCATTTTAATAAATGTGTTTATGATGTTAATTGTTTTTATATACCGTGTTGTTGTAGCACTGAATTTCTGCTGCTCTTGTTATTAACCGCTGTGAGTCGCCTAAGGGCTGAGAACAGTGGTATACAAATAAAGTAAATAAATAAATAAGAGAGAAAAGACTGAAGCATGAACCCAAACCAGTCAATTCAAACCAGTCTCTCAGGTACTTATGCAAAGCACAAAATGAAGTTTCAGATATGAACCAGTCTTCTCTACTGTCCCCCTCCCCAGCTCATCCTGTGGATGCTAACAGAACAGAAATGTGACAATCTATATGAAAATACAGAAGAGTTCCCTTCATATACACATAATAAAAGTGAAAAAAATGTATGCATGTATGTGGCTGGGGCATCCACTTACACAGACACGCTCCTGCCTCCACAAACAGCTATAGCTCCCACTACTCAGGAGACACCAAAGGCCCTCCCTCTAATGACACTGCAGGTTATAGTCATTAGAGGGAGGGCCTTTGGTGTCTCCTGAGTAGTGGGCGCCATGAACATGTATAAGAGTCCTGCCATGTATAAGAGTCCTGCCAATGTCCTCCACAAACACCATACTGCCCACCATCCAAGTGGAGGCTTTCCTACGGGGACAATTTCATCCTAGATTTTCTGTTTTTTCTCCACCACAGATGTCACAGTATTTCTTACTCTCAACTTTGCTGTGGAATTTGCATGACCCCACCCACTGCCTGTCCCTTAAAACTTTCCTCTTATTTTCTATGGCACACAGCAAATTGAGGAATTGTTCAGCAACTGAACATACTAGAGAGGTTTGGGGAGAATTCACCATGATTTATAGGAGTTGTAGGTACTGGGATGTATAATTCACCTGCAATCTAAGAACTGCACTCTGAACTCCACCAACAATGAACCTGTAACTAACTTGGCACACCGAACCCCTATGGCCAACAAAACATACTGGAGGTCTTTGGAGGGATTTATAGTAGTTGTAGCTCACTTACACACACAGCACACTATGAACACAAACAATGATGGATCTGGACCAAACTTGGCATACATACCCGATACGCCCAAATTTGAATACTAGTGTGTTTTGAGGGGAATTGGCCTGGACATTTTGGAGTTGTAGTTAATGGGATTTATAGTTCACCTGCAATCAATGAGCACTCTGAAGTCCACCAAAGAGGGGACTGGACCAAACTTGACACACAGAGTCCACATGACCAGCTGTTGAAGAATTCAAATAGTGTTTTAATTTTATGTCTCTTGAAATGACTCCCAAAGGACACAGTAAAAGGAGATATAGTTTATCTTGGGTAAAGATATAATCATAGTTGGAAGAGACTACATGGGCCATCCAGTACAACCCCCTGTCATGAAGGAAAAGCACCCTAGACAGATTGCCATCCAGCATCTATTTAAAAGCCCAAAAAGAAGAAGCCTTCAACAAACTATGAGGCACTGAATTCCACTGCTGAACAGCTCTTATGGTATCGATTTCTGAATTACAGTTAACTGATAATATTGTGGATACAGATAATACATGTTAGGTCTGGCATATGACCTCCCAAGGAGAAATGCCACTTTGTCATAGGCAATGCTATACTTCAGCCAAATAACAGAACTACAGGTATTCTCTAAGTTAAAAACATCCAACTTACAAAGGACTCATAGATAAGAGTGGGGATGAAACAACAGGACATAAGAGAAAGGGAAATTCACTTCTCAAAGAGTGATCATAGGAAAAAGGTGTCCCAGCTGAAGCTTTATCACCAATCTTTGTTTCCACAAGTCATTTTTTTCAAAATCCAATTATCACAAGGACAGAAAAAGAGGTGAACAGGGGCACAAACAGCAAAACAATCTTCTGAACAGGGGGAAGACAGCAAGGGTGCTAACCCTTCACTAAGCTATCCAAAGCTTTTATATATATGGCTGGAAAAGCACTTAAAAATGTACCTGTTCTGACCTACATACTAATTCAAATTTAAGAACAAATCTACAGAACCTATCTTGATTGTAACTTGGGGACTGCCTGTACTTTGTCCTGGAAGAATCAAGAAAGCTATTCCCCTTTCTTCCTATAGGCTATTGGAGACACGAGGGTAGGAAAATGTCACACTATGGCATCCATCTTTGCAGCCCCTGACCACGGGTCTGCTTGAGGTTTCAAGTTCCATATCCCTTTTTAACTTTGACAAGAAACTCTCTACAGCAGTTCCATAAATGGGCTTTGGTGGTTTCTGAATCTGTAGATGATTGCAACTTCCAAGGAGAAGAGAAAGTTACAAGGACAGGCAGAATCCCCCCCCCCCCTCCAAAAAGCATCAGCTGATCCGGGCATAGGAAAACATGCTGATAATATAATGCTTGGCTAATATTTTCCCATCTGCAAAGTTTGACTCTACCAGGAGATTCTGAAGCAAATCTTGGTTAAAGAAAACTAATTTCTTTTACCTAGGGCCATTATACTGGAAATTAACAACATTAATTAGCTCATTTCTAACTTAAAAACCCTCTTCTGCTTTGATCCAGGAATCCTGCAATGGGAATGGATGACACCCTTTGCCAAATTCTCATGTAGAAAGCTCTGAGGACTTAACCCTTGAAGAGCTACAGATATGCAATAGAAGCAAAGAACTTTTGTTTTTTTTAAATGGCACACTACCAAATGTAACCACAAAACCTAACAAGTATGACCAAGAGAAATATATTTTATATGATGCCTAAACTACATGAATAATTTCATTCAATATGAAGACATCTATCTTTCTAGTGAATTTAAAAGCACTTACAAGGTTCTGATTCACTTGACAGAACTGTAAGGAACAAAGAGGTCTACAGATCTAATTCCCTATAACAATTTTACTCACAGCAATTTTACAACTAAACTATTTTCATAAACTATGCCCATTATCTACACACATTTAATACAAAAGCATGGTGCATTCCCCTTATTTATGTATTTATTTATTTGTTTACTGTATTTATATACCGCCTTTCTCACCCCTGGGGGGGGGCCTCAAGGCAGTTTACAACATACTAATGACAAAAATTCAATGCTAACATACAGAAAAACAAAGAAATCATAATAACTAATTACTATGTATCACTTTGACTTAACATCATTAAAACCATTTAACATAAGACATAAACAAAATTTAAACATTCAGACAAAGCATTAAAAACATCCTAGTATAAATATTTAAATCACACGGTCCAAAGGGGTCATTCGTTTTTGTCATGTGAAGTGGGTTTACACAGCATAAATGGGCAACAAATGCATTTTAAAAAACATGTTATTAGACATGTAATAGGTAACTGTAGAAGGAAACAAAAACATAGGATATTTGAAGTGAGTATTACTATATGCTTAGTATATTTTTTTAAGCTGTGTGACTCAATGGTAAGCTTATGCAAAAAGATGCAAAGACTAATGCAATTTATCACATATAGTGTGATAAATTGCACCAGCTTTTGCATCATTTTGAATAAGCTTACCATTGACTTGCACAGCTTTCTTTACAAGTCAACGGCAAACTTCAGTTATCTAGACTGAAAGAGCACATGGCAACTATCAAAGTTCTATACTAAAAATAGTAGTTACACAGCTCTGAGAACTCTCTTAGTGTTCTGCAATTGCAGACTATAGTAACGACACACAGAATACTCGTGGCAGCATTCTAACAGCCCTAAAGAGTGCCTTTCTGCAGTGGCTAATGAAATGTGGAAATGACTCACCGATTCTGTTTGTTTCTTTGTTTGATTAACTGGATGAGTTCCTTGTCGAAGTATTGTTCATTGGCCTCTTCTTTCCCGTCCTCTGCATCGTGGGCTTCAATGTTGTCTTTGTGCAACTGGCTGGAGATGTGCTTAGCATATGCTGACAAGCCCACCACTGTCACCCTGCACACCTGGCACTCATGATTGCTGTCCCTGGGGAAAGACGGAGAAGGCGGACATTCAATCCTTCCCACAGGCATGGCAAACAAGGCTGATCTTAAGCACGTTTCCTCTGAATATGCAAGGTTTAGCAACTTGCACTGTATTTGCAGATTTATAAGCCCTCTTTGGCAGTTTTTGCTGATCTTGATGGTGTCTTGGTAGATTTCAGATTTTTTTCCAACAATCAAGAGGTAAAGGACTTGAGAGTAATCGGTGTCAGCTGGGAATTCTTCTTGGATTGTTGTACTCAAAACCTTGTCAGAGGAAACATAGTGGAGGAGGCAGGAGGCAGAGTGGAGGGCTTGCAGAGCTAGCAGAGGCTGCTCTGAAGCACCTCCATGGTGCCAGCTGCACTGGGAAAATCCAGTGACCCATTCGAAATATAAGCTCTACCTCGGCTTTCCCTGCAACCAAAGGCTGCAGAGGGGTGGGGAGAGAATGCTTCTGCATCCAATAGCAACATAGCAAAACCTAAACTGGGACAGCTGGCACACTGGCCTGGAATTCAAAGACTCCACGGGGCAGCAAATAAAGGGAGAGAGCCTCCAGTTCACTCTGCTTCATTTGGTTCAGAAGGTAAGAGTGAAGTCCACTCTCTACTTGGAAAGGATTAGCCTAAACACACACAAAATTGTTTCAGTTGGAGGAAGCCAACAACTGTGTGCAACAAGTGCCAGTAATCTGATTTCAGTTAATGCAAAAAAAAAAAAAAAGTACAGTACAGTACAGTACAACATTTTGTTTCTAGAGTTGCATGGTTTAAGGGTGGGAGACAGAAGGGCTGCAATAAATACAGAAAAAAGTCTCACTTATCCAACATAAACAGGCCAGCAAAACGTTGGATTAGCAAAATGTTGCATGGATAATAAGGAGGGATTAAAGAAAAGCCTATTAAACGTCAAATTACGTTATGATTTTACAAATTAAGCACCAAAACATCATGTTTTACAACAAATTCAAAGAAAAAGCGGTTCAATACACATTAATGTTATGTAGTAATTACTGTATTTACAAATTTAGCCTCAAAATAGACACGGGTTCTTTCTTTCTCCCACCCTGGACATTATTCTGGGCAGGAAGCAGACTGCATTGGATAATACAGAATGCTGTATTAGCGAAGGTTGGATAAGCAAGTACATTCAAAAATAAAAGTTGAAGAGCAAAATTAATGTGTTTTCTGACTACAAAAGTGTTCTAGGGTAGAGTTTCTTCAGCCTTCTGGTATGAAGGACTGGAAAGTATCCCCCACTCCCACCCCACCCCCCACACAAATGTGTCAGGGATTGGCACTATATTTGCATCTGTTTGGGTTCAATTGTTTCATTGTTTCAATTGTTTCCTTTACAGCAGTGGCGCCATCAGTCTGGAATGCTCTGCCACCTGAAGTTCGTGCCCTGCGGGACTTACCCGCTTTCCGCAGGGCATGTAAGACATACCTGTTCCGACAGGCTTTTAATGTTTGATACTGTTGTTTTTAAATTGTTTTAAATTGCTTTTAAATTTTGTTAGATTTTAGCTATTCTTGTAAGCCGCTCCGAGCCCCAGGGGAGTGGCGGCATATAAGTTTAAATAATAAATAAATAAATAAAATATTTTTTTTCCTAAAAATTCATGTATTTTATTTATTTAGTTCATATTTACCTTGCCTTTCTTGCCCCTCATGGGGTCTCAAGGCAGCTTACAACTTCGGCAAGAGTTCAATGCCAGTAAAATCAACAATAAACTATAAAAGTATCCCTTTAATTAAAATCAATTAACAGTTAGTATAAAACACATAATTAACATATAAAGAGCATAGTTCCATTCATCCAAAATTCTTGCACACAATCCGTGTCAAAACACATAGTAACTTATACTTTGAAAGCTTGTGTGCAAAGCCAGGTCTTCAGATTTTTTCTAAAAACTAGAAGGGATGGGGACTGACTGGTGTCACTAGGGAGGGAGTTCCACAGCCTAGGAGCCACCACTGAGAAGGCCCTGTGTCTCATCCCCAACAATTGCACTTGCGAAGGTGGTGGGACCGAAAGCAGGGCCTCCCCAGACTATTTTAAAGTTCTAGTAGGCTCATAAAAGAAGATGAATTCAGACAGGCCTTCATGAACCAGCAGCCAATGGCTCACGGAGTACCACTTTGAGAAGCACTGTTCTAGTGTATAATTCCAAATATTCATAATGAGTACACATAGACAAAAGGGAAAAACAGATCTCCATGGAAAAATTCATGACATATTGCAAATCTCATTTAGACTCAGTGTTCTCTTCTCCACCCCCAGTTGGGAAGGACAAAAAAAGAATGTGTTTAGCGCCTCTGATTTTGACATTACAGGATTAATTACTGAAACTCTGTTCAAGATCCATGTGATTTGGCCAGAAATAATTCTCGCTTAGCCCACACTTTTAAAAATATTAACAATGTGCTCTAATTTTTTGCTGCCATTTGCAGTGAGGACTTTTTAAAGCTTATCATTCCCTGTTCAAGAAAAAACAAATAAAATTTAAGGTATTTTGCCTTTTAAAAAAAGCTTCATAGCATTATATATTAAGATTGTGGGTTTCAGCACAGCTGTGAAACCACTTGGTTAAAATAGGCTTATGAATGAAGTGACAGAAACGCCAATCTCCAGGGACACAACCATCTTCACTATTCTGTAAAGAATTTCCCTCAAAGGAAATTGAGGCCGAGGAATGCTCTTCCACCTCTGCAAGTTTTGAAAGGGTGCAAGTCAAAACTAAGGGGAAGAAATCATTCGCCCACTCACAAGACATCCGACTACAACCTTTATTTCATATACTTCACAAAGGGAAACCAGCTGATGGTTAAATGAAGTACTAACCTTCTTGAAAAGGCTTTCACATGAACAAGTTTCACCCCTCCAGCTAAGTCCTATATTAATACAAAGCATAGCTACTAGTTTTGTGCATTTGTATAGAATCACTATCCGTTTCTGTTTGTTTCATATTGCAAGGCCCCATTTTCATTTTTGAGCGCCTCTCCCAAAAACAGGCACCCTTCCAAATGAGCTTTTTCATCCCAGGTCCAACAAAAATGACTATTTTCATCCCATTGGTGGCCTACAAGCCACATATGCACTCTCTTTCCAAGGCAGCTGAAGCTGTGATGCACCTCACCGTTGGCACCCAAATCGGGGTCTCTGCCCAAAAGTTGGCCCAAGGAGCTGCCTACAGCCGCATCTTATTTATTTATTTAGAGTTTTTATACCCCGGATTTCTCACCTCCGGGGAGGGACTCATGCCGGCTAACAACATAAAATTCAATACAATAAGAAAAACATTATATGTCATCAATATAAAATACATTAAAATACGCTTCATACAATGGGGGCATTGTCGTTCTCGTTCAGGACCCAGAGCTGGCCGCTTGCCTGACAGGGTCTGCAGCCAAGCGACAATAGCCTCCTACTCTTGGAAAGTGTGTGTGTATATGTGGCGTGCAGGCCCAAAGTGCCAGCGCCTACCAGGGCTTGCAGCTGAGTGCCGAAAATCAGGCAACCAAGCGGTTACTGTTCCCACTTTCCTTTCATTTCACTGATATTTTCGAACTAGAGGGAGGTGTACTGTTTTGTGCCATCCGAATGAAACAAATTGTTTGAAAACATGAATTAAATGGCTGAAACTGTTACCAGGCCAATGACTAATAGCTAGTTTTCCCAGTCCAAGGAGGGTTTGGACTAATACAAGATTGCCGCATTCCTGTACTAGCAAACTAGATGTGACTCATAAGGGATCTCTAAAAGCAAAATTTTAAATTAGAATAATAATCTATTATTCAAAATTCTTTTAAAAAATCTTCCTCCACACACTAGGTATATTCATGCCACTGGAAGCACTGAATGTAACACTTTGGATTCCCATCAAAATGTTACACCTGTTGATATATGGTACCAACAGCTCTATCTTCCACTTCAGATCAAGCATGAAATTCAACAGTTATCTGCTGATTCTATAAATCAGTCAAAAGGACATTTTGACCCCACAATGTCACATTTGACAGTGAACAGCAGACATTTTAATAAATTTTAATGGCATTTGATATCGGAGAAGATGACATTGGATAAAACTGCCAACAGATTAACAGCTCAAGTGTAGAAGAGGGCAAAATATTCACCTCACTCCTTATACAGAAGATCTTAGTATAGCACAACATGCTTCTCAGATCTCCGCACTGCTCACATGAGAGCAGGGAACTCTGCTTCCATGAAAGTCACACAGATATCCAATGACTTCACAAGGAGTTAAATGGTTCTGGATTTAGATGGAGAGGGTTTCAAGCAATGGAAAAGGAAGGCTCTAAGGCCACGTCTTGCATGCACCATGTTAAACTGGGCCATCCCAATGACCTACAAGTATAAGAACTAATTGGGACATATTTGCACCTGCCCAAATCTAAATGTTAACCTCAGAAGAGCAATTGAAAGAGAACACAGGAGAAATCGGAACATAAAAACTAAATTAAGAACATTAATGACACTACTGTGTGAAATACATTTAGCACCTAAATCAGCAGTAACTCAGCAACTGCAACAAACAGAAGTTGGTTCCCAATCTGATGTTCTAAAAAGTTGTTTAAATTTATTATTCTAAAAATTAGCTGAAACAAGCAGGTTCAAATTACACTGCTAAAGTTAATGCTGGTGACATACTGGAGTCAGAGCAGCCCTGCCCTGTTCAGCTGTTCAGGAATTGAACAGATGGATTTTTATTGCCAAGTCCAAGGTCAGCCCACAGTTTGATTCATTTTTAAGAGGGAACAAAAATGAAGGAAAAGATGAAGAGGAAATACCTCTTTCTAAGCACAGGGAGGTTGCCAAAGGCCAATTAGAATCATTTTTTTTCTGGGAAGAAAAAAAAGGATTTCCTGCATAGAACCACAGAGCTTTGGAACAATAACATCTGCAGCAGAACAGAAAACTGGCAGAGGTACTAAACAAAATGACCCAGGGTGTTCGTATGGCCCCAGAATTGTATTGGGAAAATACTGCTGCAGGTCCTAGTAACAGGCACTCATATATAGCCTATAAAGCTCTACATGGTTCCGGCCCAGCTTACCTATCCAAACATATCTCCTCCTATGAACCACCTAGGAAATTAAGATCATTGGGAGAGGCCCTGCTCTCAGTCCCGCCACCTTCACAGGCACGTCTGATGGGAATGAGATACAGGGCCTTCTCAGTGGTGGCCTCTCAGCTGTGGAACTCCCTTCCTAGTGACATAATGGCAGCCCCCTCCCTCCTGGCTTTCAGAAGGAAAGTGAAAACATGGTTCTGGGGTCAAGTCTTTGGAAAGTAACTACAGTGCAATAATATCTACAAAATATGTGCAATGATGCTTGGAATGAACCCGGATTACGATTGTGAATGGCATAATTTTAATAGTAATTATAATCTTTATATGTTTTAATGTGCATTTTAACTCTAATTTTAAATTTAAACTCAAATGTATTTAATTGTCTGTTATCTAAAGGCATCAAGTACTTGCCATGTGTAAAGCCACTTTGAGTCCCCTTCGGGGTAGAGAAAGGCGGGATATAAATAGACTAAATAAATGAATACATACATACCTCCCTTTGATGTTTTCAAGTTCTCTGTGATGAAGCATACTTCTCATGTGCTCATCCATCTCCTAAAAACAGAAAACGTGGTCAGCCATAAGCAGGTCATAAGCAGAGCATAGTGAAAGAGTCATTATGAAGCTGGACTTTGAGAGACCATAGTTCAAATCAGACCATAATTCAAATTTCAACTCAGCCATGGAATTACTAACTTAGGGCTAGCTATGGGGAGCATGCCACACCCCTATTAAAGCAGCTATGCTGGCTTCCAATAAGTTTCCAGATCCCATTCAAAGTGCAGGGTATCATCTATAAAGCCCTATACGCTTCGGGCCCAACGTATCTTTAAGACTACATCTCCTTCTATGAACTGCCGCAGGCTTTGAGATCTGCCAGGGAGGCTCCTCTCTCGGTCCCACCTCCATCTCAAACGTGGTTGGTGGGTTGAGAGAGAGGGCCTTCTTAGTGGTGGCCTCCTGGCTCTGGACTACCCTTCCTAGAAAGATTAGGTTAGCCCCCCACCCTCCAAACCTTTCAGGTTAGCTTAAAATATGGCTCTTTAGACAGGCCTTTGACTTTGTGTCAGATTGAATACTCAGCAATTGTTTCTACTCCGGCACTATGGTTTGTTAATTGCAGATAGCCTGTTTTATTCACAGGTTCTATTGCATTTTATGAATTTTACAATTTTATCATATGGGGTTTTATGTGTGTTCGTGTTTTAGGTTTATATTGTTGTTTTATAAGTTCATGTATCATTGTTTTATGTGCGGCACTTTGAAGTGCTTTTGTGAGCCGCCCCAAGTCCCTTCGGGGAGATGGTGGCAGGGTACAAATAAACAACTACTATTACAATTACTACTTATTATTATTATTATTATTATTATTATTATTATTGGAAAGCCACACACTCCCAGCCTAAGAAACTAGCAATGTCAAATATCCTCTAAATAAATCTTGCCAAATGTATTACCTAATGGCTTCCCATCCAAGTTTCTGAAGTCAAGCAAGACCACTGTACTTAGGATAGTGTGGTTATCTCTACTCTTTGTAGGAATCCTAAATGTGCATATTTCCACTTAATTTTCTCTTTTAATTTGTTTTACAATCACATCTAAGCCTTCTCCTCTGTTTTCTTCCCATTTCCCTTCACTTTTATAATGATCTAGAAAAGGATCCCAATTCCTAAAATGTACACTTATCAATGTAGTTACATTAGACTTCTGATCAGTCACAGAATGCAAAGTTTAAAATAACCATGTAATGCTAATTCGCTGCCTGAATAATTTCTTCAAATGTACCAAAATATTTAGAATACCAGAAAATTCTAATTTTTTGTCTGAAGTATGTTAAAATACATGTTATAAACTATTTGAATTACACTTCTAGAATGTATTTAGGGCACAATATAGCAGAGCTATGAGGAATGAAACTCTCTATTCAAATATAGACATACATGACAAAAGAAACTGTTTAATATACCTCCTTAAAAAAACCTATAAGGCAAGAGGTTGAATAATTGGATCCTTCTACTATAATGAAAAAAGGAATGGCTGGTTGCAGAAATCCATTTCATTATGGATTGCTCTTGTTACTTTCTGAATGTGTTCGGAAAAGTTATACTAATCTGACAAAATAATCTCTACTTATATGATTCTACTTATTCACATGTGGCATGCCACCATGTTAAGTACAGTATAAAAAGAGCTTATCTGAGCCTGAAGCAAGATACAAGTCTCTGATACTGAAGACACATTTAACTTCTTTGTATTTTAGATGAAGACTTTTTTGTTTCATCAAGTCTTCAGCCTTAGTTTACTTTTTCTTCTTCCTGTATTATCACTGCGCAGTAAAATTATTATACATCAGCGTATTTTAATTTGCTCTAAGCTTCCTTCAACATTTTGGAAAGTTAGGATATACAGTACATATTAGAAATAAAACCCATTTGTTAGATATGAACCTAAAATCTCTGTTTACCTTTTTTGTGCTGTATATGATGTGGCATAATATACATTTCCGTTTCCGGACCATAGTGAATACACCAGAAAGATATTATCACACCCCTATAAGTAGAAAAAAATGTCATCAGTTTGCTATATACAAGTACATGTAACAAAGACATGATAGCAATGACACAAAACACAAAGTAGTCCTTGCTATTATTCCAGTGTTTAGCTTGGCTAGAGTTTGATCAAGCACTAAGTAAACATTTTCAATCATTCATGATTATTCTTCACAGTATTTTATCAGAATAAGATAATACAGGTATATCTCAATTAATAAAGTAAATGTGCTTCCGGACATTACTTCTGTAAGTTAAAATGTGGTACCAAAGGCAAAAAATAACATAGAAAGAACAGGGATATGGGTTTCTGCACCACAAAAAATCAAAAGTGATAATATGTGCAGGTTAAATGAAGCAATGACATCAAATAAGGCGTGCAGAAGTCAATGAAAACACTGTGAACCTTCTAGATATCTCTTAAAAGCTTCCTTCAAAATGTATCCAGGGGTTTTTTTCATTCATCTATCCCCCTCCCTCTTTCTTACAATTTCCATTTGGTGGCCGATCTTCACTGTGTCTTAAATTGTCATTCCAGACCCCAAATGAGGTCCCTTTAGCTCAATGCTGGGGTTGTAACAAAAATTAGCAACAGTAAAAGGTTTTTGAATGCCACCTAAACATTTTCACAAATCTGTTAGCATAAATGTGCTGTGGATTCTGCAGAAAATGCTTCAGCTATACTCCACAAAAAGGAAAATCAACCTGTTTAGCAAGCCTTGCAAATGCTGAATTATTAGAAATGGTTTCATTTTTACACCTATTTTATAAACCTATATGCCCAGGGTTGCGTAAATATTTCCAAGATAGAAAGGGGTCGCGAGTGGAAAAAGTTTAAGAAATCCTATTCTAGATTTATACTCATTTAACACGCTGGGACTACCTAGTGACACAGGGCTATCTACTTCCTCCTTTTCTCTCTGTTTTGCTGCTTACACAGTGTTGTAGTAGAGCCTGTTAGTAACGCTGCAAGTGGTAGTATGGGTGTCAGAAGGGGGAAAAGGAGTGCTCGTGAGCAAGAGCTAGATGAGGAACAACAAAGGAAAAGGATCCGGGATATACTTATGTCACCTACCGATGAAGACCCCTTCGAAGGGTTTTCTGATAGTAAAGGGTCAATGAGTGAGGGAGAGGAAGGAGATACAGTGGATGTGAATAGGGGAACTAAGAGGGTTACTTGGGAGCAGGAATCGGATGAGGAGTGGCAAAGGAAGAAGATCCGGGATATACTTACTGCTCTCATAGATGTGGAGTCATTCATGGGTTTCTCTAGGAGTGATGGGCCTGGGCGTGAGGAGGATGGGGATGACACAATGGATTGGACTAAGGTACAAGAAGTACAAGATGTATGTGCTCAGCCAACATCTAGTGACACGTTTGGTGGTGGGGATTGGCAGTCAGGAGATACTTCTGAATCTTGGGGAGATCTAAGTCTTGACAGAAGATGGACGAGTTGGAGGGATGGGCATCGGAGTTCATGTGTGGAGTCAAGGACAGCTGTAAGAGATGATGACGGGGCAGAGGTCAGCTCACCAGCGGATGATGAGGTGTAAGATAAAAGTAGGCTTTGAAATGAGGAATCTTTGCAGAAGGCAAAGTGTTAGTTTTGTGCCTTGGGTTTTGTTGCTGCGGTTTTCGTGTTGGTATTGGGTCCTGGATCTGCAGGTTGCTGCTTCTGTTCATGTGTGTTTTGACTTGGCTTGGATTCTTGTGGGTGCGGATTTCCCCTTCTTTGACTACCTTCTTTGACTACGGTTTAGACTACGACACTGCCTACGTGGATTTTGGAACCTCGCAACTTCCGACTTGGCTTACTTTGACCTCGGACTTTGTTTGACTACGTCTTCTTCCTTGCGGCTCTTTGTTTGTTCACCCTTTACTTGCTGTGTTATTTTGTGTGACTTTTGAAGCACTTTAGTTTAATCCGGAATTTTTCTCTGGATAATCCGGATTATTGCTTCAGTTTACCTTTTGAACTGGAACTAGTTGCTACTTTTGAGTTTTGACCAGAGACACTGAGTTAAGTGTTTCAGAGTCTCTTTTGCTTTGTGTTAATAAACTCTACTGGACATACTCTTTAAGGCGTCTGGGTTCCGAAACACAAGTTTAGGGAGGAAGTCTGAAGGCAACTGTATACTTTGACTGTTGTAGGCAGGCACACAAGGTAATTAAATATGTGAAACTGTTCATCCAGTGGAGTCTCTGGATCTGTGGGAGTTTCATTCCAGAATTCCCCCACAGAGGACAAAAATGTGATTATATCCCAAATTATTAAGTGAAGATAACCTATGCACAGACACACGCATGTCATTTTTATGGTATGTATAGGACACAATGATGTCTACAGTCAGTGGAGTAGTGGATTCAACAGCTGCAGAGCCAAAGGGTCCACTGTGTCTACCATCAGATTGGAAAGTAATGTAGATGATATAGCAAATACCCTGAAGTTTTTATCCACAACCTGGAAAAAAACTTTAGTGAGACTATTTTCAGCATTTACTATTGCTCACTTAAAACTAAGAAACCAACTGTGAATTTAAAAAACAAGTCTATTTGCGAAAGAAGACAGCTGGAGTGTGGGAAATGAGCTATGGTTGTACGCAGCTTTTAAGGACAGTGCATTTATTCACTGTTGAGATGAAAACTATACAAAGGAAAGTTTGATAAGAATAAAAATGTAAAATAAAGCAAGCAGATGGGATGGCAGTCAAGAGGTCTGAGCTCCAATCTTTCGGTAATCTCCTCAAGACCTGTTATTTGCAAGGCTCTGAGTAGAATGAATTGCTTTTTCCCTAGTGCTTTCTGTGTGACCATCAGTGAAATTGCTCCAGCAATTATACCTAAGCAAAACACTTAAGAGGGTCACATGACGGGTGAGTTAAAAAATAAGTGAAGAAATATCAGGGGGGAAATTAGCTGAATTGATTATTTTAGTGATTTAAGCCAGCACTCGGAGGTTTTCTTATTATTTTTGATGATAGAAAAAGAATTAAAAGGTTACATAATTTAAAGCAAAAGTTTGACATATCTTGTATTATTGATGTCATAACATTTTAAATAGTAAGTTGCAGTATTGGTGCGTTCAAAGCACTTTTTGTTTCTATGCTATAGAATCTTATGCAACCAGATAAATATAGTTAAGTCTGGCACACTTTTTAAGTAAACGTGCAACATAGTCCAGCCCAAGAAAATATGTTGACCAGGCTGTCTGGGGCTTCTGGGAGTTGAAGTCCAAAACAGCTGCAGGGTGAAAAAGCAGCTTCAAGTGCTTAACTCAGAAAAGGCACATCAAGAATCCTTGTCTTAGGATCTGCTCTCATCATCTAGCCTTTAAAGGCATCAATCATCAATACGCAAATGATCTGTTATTGCTTTTCTTGCAAAAAAAAATGGTATCACAACACCACCACATGATAGAACATGTGTTGAGGAGAAACATCCATTTCCCTAACAAATCCATCATGTCTACAATGTAAAATATAGGGTAATTTATTGCCTCGTATAGATGTTCTGAGCTTTTGGGCATTTGGGCATTTGGCTTAAAATGGCTAGGACTTCCAGTGTTGTGGTTCAGTCAGATGAAGATGACGGGATTTTGTATTTCAGAGCCTGGGAGAGTGGTGATTCTTTCAATCAGGGAAATGAGAGGATTTTAGAGCAAGATCCTGTCTGTGAGAACAGGCTTGAAAATTAAACTGTTTCGGAGTCCAGCAGACAAGGAGATGCAGTGTCTGGTAGAGACCTTTTGCCTACTAGTACCATAGCAAGCCCAGATAAAGACATAGATGGCAATAAAACTAGCTAGAGGGAACATCTGTGTTTGACAGGCACATCAGGCTTGATCTTAGAAAAAAATCCAGCAAGATCAGAAAATCGCAAAGACTCAGTGAGAAGGAAGACCAGAAAAAGTCTCACAGGAAAGGAAGACAAGGTCATAGAAATGACGTCATGTTTTGTGGTCCTTAAATCAGAGAAGTATCTCTTTGAGAATTCAGATCAGGCAACGCTGCTAAATTGTTATGATCTCAAGTCCTGTTTCAGTTCATGTTTTTAGTCTAAGATCTTGAGAGTTTCTATTCATATTTTAAGAAGTTCTTCTAGCCTTGGTTTTGGATTCATGCTCATGTTTTGATTCTTCTTTTCCTGGATTTATGCCTATGTTATGATTCTGGGCTTTTCTGTACCTTTTGGATTATTTGTTTTTAAAGTGTTCTGCTACTAACCAGTTTGTTTGGGCTTTTTACTTATTGGCTACTTTTTCCTGTTACCTGATGGATTTTGCCTTTCTTATTTCTTTTGGTGGTTTTTCCTTTTTATATGTACTTTTTTCAATAAACTGTTTGACAACTGCTTTTGGATTCTTGGTTGATGTTGAGAGCAAGGTGAACTCTGGTTGAAGTACAACATCCGGCAGTTGAAGTCTGAAATACCTTGGGAGCTAAAGACTGAGAACCACTGCTTTAAAGTGATTTATGTAAAACCATCAGGTGTGTAGGAATAAGTGGCAAGCCATGAAATATATAAGTCTCAAATGCACTTGACACAGAATACAGAACTAGCCAACAACTCTAACTACAAAATCGACCATTACAGAAAGACATAAATCTACCACGTGTTTCCATCTCAAACATCAGCATGTAAAGATGCTTATCAGCAGTTACATACAGGAACTGCAGAAGGATTAAGGGATAGGAAGAGCCATTCCCTAAATGTAATACATAAATGTACATACTTGAAGGAACTCTGAGGTCTGATGCCACTATGATGAAATTGAATAGGCATGAACAAGACACCCAATGAAATGCTGCCAACTGCACCCCCCAAGAGACACACAGACATACTGACTTCACTAAGGCAAAAAATCACTGGAAACACCTCCCTTCCAAAGAGAAAAACTTCAAAGTGTCATTACAGAGAAAAATGTAAGCTACAGTGCAACTGCCACAATCTGAAGAATTGGAAAAAGATGGAAATGTTCATGACTACTGTGCTCAAGTGATA